TAACACACTTTACCATAATACTAACCGCAGTTAATAATACACGTAACCATGATACTAGCCGTAGTTTATAATACTCTTTACCATTATACTAACCGAAGTTAATAATACACTTAACCATTGTACTAACCGAAGTTAATAATACACTTGACCATTGTACTAACCGCAGTTAATGATACACTTAACCATAATACTAACCGAAGTTAATAATACACTTAACCATTGTACTAACCGCAGTTAATAATACACGTAACCATGATACTAGCCGTAGTTTATAATACTCTTTACCATTATACTAACCGAAGTTAATAATACACTTAACCATTGTACTAACCGCAGTTAATGATACACTTAACCATTGTACTAACCGTAGTTATTTAAATACATTTAGCAATCATTCTGACCGCAGTATATCTTGTTAACCACTTAACCTCCAAACTACCTACAGTTAAAACTATTAACCATCATACATGTACTAACCGCAGTATCAGACGTAAAACTGCATAGCTACTATGCTTACTGCAGTAAGACGGAAATCATGGTTATATGATGAATTTTCACGTGGAGTTTCGAAAATCTAAAAAACAGTATCACGAGTACAAAGTTTGACTTCTCTACCATTTATGTAGCCTTTCCTTCACATGTCTGAAATATATTACATGTAGTGTTTTTGTCTAAACTAGCAATCCCATTCGTCAATAGAAATGAGAGCTATCTTGTTATGTTAACAAATCAACAAAAACGTACACAGATAATGATTAGGTCTGTACGAGGATATGTTTTTATTATCTTTTACGTTTTATTTTGAAGAAAATTCAACAGAATATTGTTTTTCTTAAGGAAGTTATTGTGCGCCACTTCCATGTTATCCAAGATCGGACAATGTGACAGTTATCAGTTCATACAGGTGTCAAACAGCGTAACGGTTCTTATTTTATTAGAAAATATGACTTTTATTATCTCATTCACGTATCAGACAATGAATAACGTTTTTTTTTACATAAGTATAAAACAATGTGACAGTTATTATTTCATACACGTATCAGACAATATGACTGTTATTACTTGATACAAGTATCAGACAATATGACATTCATTATTTTATACACGTATCAGACAATATGACTGTTATTACGTTATACAAGTATCAGACAATATGACATTTATTATTGTATACAAGTATCAGACAATATGCCATTTATTATTTTATACAAGTATCAGACAATATGACATTTATTATTTTATACACGTATCAGACACTATGACTGTTATTACGTTATACAAGTATAAAACAATGTGACATTTATTATTGTATACAAGTATCAGACAATATGACATTTATTACGTTATACAAGTATCAGACAATATGACATTTATTGTTTTATACAAGTATCAGACAATATGACATTTATTATTTTATACAAGTTTCAGACAATATGACTGTTATTATTTTATACAAGTATCAGTCAATATGACATTTATTATTTTATACAAGTACCAGACAATGTAACAGTAATCGTTTTATATGAATTGAACGGCATTTCCCCCTGTATTTGCCGACTTTTGGATATGTATTGCGCGGGCCGATTTGTCTGTATTGCAACAATATTAAGCAATATAAGTAATTTACAATTATTATTGTATACAGTCACAGTTCCTTGTATATCATTGTTGATTTTTAAAAGTCTCAAATTCTTACTTTTTTAACATTGTGTGTACAATAGGTTTAAATAACATTGATATCTTAAAGTTAAACTCGTAAAAGTATACAACAGAAATAAGACCAGAAAATTCATAGTTTGTCAGATAAGAAGTTATTCTGAAATTGTTGATTTTTTTTCTATGCCAATGTTGCCCGCGGACTCTATACACAAAGTGTTCTGATTCAGTAGTTTCCCTCTGTTTGGCTCCTTTATCAGTAGTTTTCCTCTGTTTGGCTCCTTTATCAGTAGTTTCCCTCTGTTTGGCTTTATCAGTAGTTTCCCTCTGTTTGGCTCCTTTTATCAGGTCGTTTTCCTTTTCTCTGTTGTTTTGTCAGATCATTTCGTATCTGTACGGTGGAATATTTCTGATGGTTTTTAAGTCCCTTGATGGGATTTGAAAATTCTCTTCTTCATTTCACGGAACCCTAAGGAAATGAGAAGTGGCCATCCCTTATGCTCAGTTTCACTGTGCATTGTGACAAACGTGTAAATAAAGACAAGACCTCGCTGACATACATTGCTTGGCTAACATAACTGATAAATCCATACTTGTTTTATTTCCAGATAAATTGGCTATGTGTTGGGGTGTGGTGTATGACGATGATGGTGAGTGATGCGCAGGCGCGCCCAAATTTTGCGCTGTCATGTGACCACCGAGAGGTGCGCGAGTCGTGCCTGTACGGCTGTCTGGGCTGTCTGGAGGTATTCGGGGTCCAGCTGTATGACATGGCGGCCTGTTGTCATGACTGTAAGGTGACCAGGGCAGTCCTGGTTGATGACGGTCCGGTCAGATGCTCAGACAAGTACATACACGAGTCCTGGATTAAACGCTTTGGTAAAAGGGGAAGTAAGTTCCGGGGCCACGGCAAGGGATCATTGTCATGGTAATTGACGAATAAAAACAAACTAAAGTGAGTAAAAACTGCGCTAGAGGGCATCATTAGCAGATTCGTTCTGGAAGTTTGGAGTCCTCGGCATGGAAATCTTTAACAAGTTCACAGGGTGTGTCTCCTAGGGAACGTTTCGCTCTAAATAAGTGAACTGCCGCTGTGTAGCCTTAAATATGACACTGTTAAGTCATGTGTTAGTTTCTGTTTCTGCCGTGTGACCAAACGGATATGCCAATTTCATTGTGGAGAGATTTGAAAGCACCGTCCAGATTTTGTTTACAATTGTACGTCAACAGATAGCGCTCGAGGGTAAAACAAATTTGTATATACATATGAATTTATTTATTATTAATTGATTTTTTAAACTGCAATGTCCAATAAAACAACGTTATTTTATGTTCCGTTCGTTGATGCATTTTTTAGTGATAAGTTGTACGCTGTGACATTGATATTAAGATATAATCACATATTCTAAATAATCGACAATCTCAGTGAGTGGGAGTAGTGGACAACCCTGTTGTCTATATGGTAAATACACTTTCAGATGGCTTGTAAATTGCATGGCAACACTACTGTATTACATAAGTTATGATAGCTTTGTCTAATGCTTCTTATATATCCCCATCGTCTCTTTGTCCTTTCTCTTGACTATAATTTCTCTCTTGAAATCATATTTGCATTCCAATAAAATGGTTATAACATTGTGTGACATATATTGTAATCATCGTATGCATACTGTCTAAGAGAAGTTTGATAAACCGATACAATTTATTTAATTAGGTAAAAAAAGTTTGCTATGAATTAAGTTAAAATCAAACTACATGTATATCTGTTCGTGACCTATTGGCTGGTACATTCACATGTATTGCGTTCTACTCAAACACGTGTGCCATGCACAAGTGTATGTGTTCACTACATACACGTCACACGTGTATAATTCTGTCAACTGTTTGAGTAGGGGTGACGTGGTTCAGATCGGTGGAACATGTTAATAGCCTATGTACCTTAAAGATTTTTCTTGGACTTTCTTGGTGACAATCGGAGCTATTGGGCACTACAATATGAAACCATTCCTGGAGTTTGTGTGATTTATTGTGTAAAACGTTTAGAATGTGAACTCGTGTATGAAAAACCCTTCAACGCATTTTTAAAAGTCATTACCGGAATGCTATCGTCTTTGTTGTAAGCAGACCTTTAGTAATTTTATTTTATTTTATTCGTGCTTTAACTACAGAATTCTCATTTCTAAATATTATAGGGCTGTTTTCTATGTGGTACGTAAACATAAACCCAATATATCAATTTACATAGCTGAACTAGTAAATTGTTGTTTTTACGTATCATATGATATATAGTATTATACCATTACGTTGTGTAGTCATATCAGTTATTGCGGTAATGAGAATTTTACTGAATATTCCGCTGGAGTACCTACAAGTACTAGGAAGCCATGCTGAATATATTATGATATTAATATTCATGTTTGTATACGCAGATTATTTAAGGTAATGACTTTCAAAAATATATGGTACACGTGCGAAGTAAACTTCCGGACCGGGTTCAATCAATTCACCGACATTGCCCTATGCTAAAATATTGACTATATAATAATGTTAGGATTTAAAATACAAGTTACACCTTGACTTTAAACATATTTTATTAACCAGAATTGGAAAATAGGATTTGGCACAAGTTATAACAACTTATGAAGCCATCTCCTTACAACAGATAATGATATAGACTGTCAATTACAATTCATAGTAGTATGACGCGATTTTTAAAGTAACACATACACATACAAAAAAATAAAAAAATATTTTAAAGTCAAGTTCATAATCGAAACATGTTAAAATCTTCCACTGGGTCTAATAAAAATTTGCACTTGTTTGAATACATCACAACTTGTATCCCAAGCCAGATTTTCATTTCCAAACAGTAATAATCTCAACGTTAAATGTACATTTAAATGATTTATATGATCAAAAAGTACAGTACGAGCATTTAAAGAAGAAGTGAGAGGCATTTTTGCAATGGTAGCCACAATTTATACAATTGGAGTCTTGGACCAAGTTTGCACGGTAAAGATCATGTTTGAGAGGAATGCATTCGTGTCTTAGTCTGGGTTTTTTTTGTAGCGACATAAATACATACGGTCAGAATATTAGAGTTATCTCCCTTTAAACGTGTGTCTTGTACTCGAATACATGTCTTAACACCAACGCGCACAATATTTTTACACAGATTAAAAACATTTGTGGTGCTAAAAAAAGACGAATTGATAAATAAAAGTAATGATGAAATGATATCACCGTTGCTTGATGTTGCATAATCCTGTTCATTCCGGAACCTTCCGGAACTGGCTGGGACAGATTAGTTTAAAAATGATGTCATCGTCATGTGTTTATCTGTCATTACAGAATTTCCGACTCTACAGACCTACTTATTTTTAGCCCAACAATAGCGTTTAAATCAACTCTGTGGTGTATTCATCACTGTCATCTTCTGAAAGACGAGACCAAACGACTGACCTACGCGACGTAATGTACGGTTCCTATACTGCCCTGTAAGACTATTTGCCCGAGAACCGTGGATCTATGCATAGGATAGGGAATTTCCGTGTCTATAAATAGAACAGGATTGGCCTATATATATATACACACGCACACTCAACGGAAACATTCGAACCCAGATCTGTGAGAACCACTACCGAGAACACCTTGGGATACCTGAAATCATCTCAAACTTCAATGTTTTAATAAGTGGGAAATATTCAAGTAGTGATCATTGAATATTTTGGATTATTTTAACATCGATATTCAACTTTGGAAATAATTCCACAATAAGGAGTATTTATATAAGTCACAGAGTATTAAACTCTTAAAGATGACAAGGGAGTCTGATACCGCACAAGTTATAGAGTTTGATGAGGGACTGGCCGAAGCCAGTAGAGTTGCCATGGAAACCGGGATGCTGACCCCACTGGTGAAAGAGGAACTCAAATACACCATACTATCCAGGAGGGAAGCGAATGGCAAAGGTCAAATAGAGGTCACGTTTGATGACCCTCAGCAATACCAGGTATGTCGTTTTGTAATTAACGTTTGTACTTGAATATTACATGTTAAGGGAAAACTTTATTTAAAGAAAAGTACCCCCTCCTTTTCCCTAGTCTTAGCCTATGTATCTAGGCAATATTCTCGTTGGTCATTATCTAGAACGATTCAATGTACCATATTTCAAGATAATTATTTAAACTGTGTTGGGTTATATCTCAATCCTGAAATAAACTCCATTTTCTACCCGAACTCATGTTTTCTTAATAACGAGCTTGTAACACGATATATCTAATTATCTACATAATGAAATTCTTTTATCATAACGAAGATATCCATTGAACTTAACAAAAACACAACACGAAAATATGCAGACAAAAATGCAGGAGGCTTTACAGTAGCCAATCCTTTTCTGAGAACCTTATTAATTTATTCAATTCATAGAAAGACATACATAGAAATCGGAACAGTTACAGAATACATGTATAACTACGGAATGTTTCATAACATTCCCTTCATTTTTATAGTGTTCGGTCACTCTGAGATATGTATATCGAGATACGTAAAGGTCAATTAGGGATTAGTCTACAAATTAACGGGGTAAACATGACGTGACGAACAGCACGTAGCACAAGGGTGATATGTACATGTAATACTGTTACGTCATTTTACCGTCATCACGTGTCCAGTTCTTCAACATATCCATTATTTAGTTGTTTCATTTAAACATTTTCTCTCTTTCTACGGTTTGTAAATGAAATGATTAAATGTATTTTTTATTTTACATTTTTTTAATTTCATTGGTGTATTCAAGTTCAAGTTGTTTATTGCCTTGAGTCTTTCGACTCATCAGTTTCGAAAATGAGATAGTTATAAACAATACAATACAATACCATACTCTGAATTGTGGCCATGTGTCTATAAACGCTTTATTTATCGGGTTTATTTACTTGACCAGTTGACCACAGAGGAGTTGGAGAAAGTGGAGAAACGGCGTCAACAGAACCGAAGTGCTGCCAGACGATTTCGTCACAGGCAGAAACAAACGTCACATGATTTCATCAAGGTAAAAGTGTTGATATTTCCCTGGCTTTCTTGTTTTACATACTGAGGTGTCTTTTATTATAAGATAGTATGATATTTATGGTGGATGTTGTGATGCGCTTACTTATACTTACTTATTATTAAGATAAAAACGTTTTATGCTTAACATGTTAGGTTTTTGACGTTTTAATTTCCATAAATAACGCTTCAAAAAGGAACTCAAATAACGCGCTAAATGTATTATTCGTATGCAACATTGTAACATGCTAATTTATAGGGTTTTGCTTATTTCATTCTAGAAAATCCAGTCTTTAGAATCCAACAATACGACGTTACGATCCGAACTTGAAAAGGTGAGCCGAGAGAAGGACGAGTTACAGCGAGAGTTACACGCACATTTACTTCACTGCCCAACTCTCGGGCTAAACAACACCCACCTCTGTCAGGAATATCATCTCTTCGAACAATAGGCCTACAGCTTCACGGGTCAGCTTCAACAAGACACTGGCTGTACACGTGTGTGGTGTCCCAGTACTGGACAAGCCTGCACTTTTTAACGGTTCCCAGTTGGTGCTACTGTACATTAACAAAACTGTCTACATGGACAAAAAACATGTCTACATTGATCATATTTAGGCGAAATACAACGTTACACGTTTTCCCTATGAATGTTGATTGTGGATCTGATATTAATGGGTTGTTCTAGAAATCAAGTGTTTGGTTCAAATTAATGATACTGAAACATATCAAAAATGTTATTTTTGTCTAGAATTTAGTTAATTCTATATCGTAATAAAATAATAATATTGGACGTTTGTAGGTAGGATATAGTCAATCGAATTTTATAAAATGAACATGACATTGATTTTCGATTATTTGTGACCACAATGGTTTGAACACTGAACAGTTTGTGTACAACCCTGGTGCTGTAACGGTCGCTCTACAGAATTCAGCCTCTATTCAAGAACATCCTTGATTGGATTTTTTTATGATTTGATCATTGGTGAATAGTAATTTTATTGATCTGTATGTTATTTACTTGAACGGTATTATGAATTCCAATTGTTTACTATATAGAATCTTTTTTAATGTGTTTAAACAACTAAACCCCCTGTGATAACTTTTTACATTTGTCTATTTCACAATAAAATGTATGTTTATATGCTGTTGGTGTTTGATCTTATATCTACTTATATATCGTAAAGTGTGTATGTACTATCCAATAGCGAACATACGAGTACGTAGGGCATGTGTTTCACTACCTTACATTTAACATACGAGCACGTAGAGCATGTGTTTCACTACCTTACATTTAACATACGGGTACGTAGGACATGTGTTTCACTACCTTACATTTAACATACGGGTACGTAGGACATGTGTTTCACTACCTTACATTTAACATACGGGTACGTAGGACATGTGTTTCACTACCTTACATTTAACATACGGGTACGTAGGACATGTGTTTCACTACCTTACATTTAACATACGGGTACGTAGGACATGTGTTTCACTACCTTACATTTAACATACGGGTACGTAGGACATGTGTTTCACTACCTTACATTTAACATACGGGTACGTAGGACATGTGTTTCACTACCTTACATTTAACATACGGGTACGTAGGACATGTGTTTCACTACCTTACATTTAACATACGGGTACGTAGGACATGTGTTTCACTACCTTACATTTAACATACGGGTACGTAGGACATGTGTTTCACTACCTTACATTTAACATACGGGTACGTAGGACATGTGTTTCACTACCTTACATTTAACATACGGGTACGTAGGACATGTGTTTCACTACCTTACATTTAACATACGGGTACGTAGGACATGTGTTTCACTACCTTACATTTAACATACGGGTACGTAGGACATGTGTTTCACTACCTTACATTTAACATACGGGTACGTAGGACATGTGTTTCACTACCTTACATTTAACATACGGGTACGTAGGACATGTGTTTCACTACCTTACATTTAACATACGGGTACGTAGGACATGTGTTTCACTACCTTACATTTAACATACGGGTACGTAGAAGATGTGTTTCACTACCTTACATTTAACATATGGGTACGTAGGACATGTGTTTCACTACCTTACATTTAACATACGGGTACGTAGGGCATGTGTTACACTACCTTACATTTAACATACGGGTACGTAGGACATGTGGTTCACTACCTTACATTTAACATACGAGTACGTAGAGCATGTGTTTCACTACCTTACATTTAACATACGGGTACGTAGGACACGTGTTTCACTACCTTACATTTAACATACGGGTACGTAGGACAGATGTTTCACTACCTTACATTTAACATACGGGTACGTAGGACATGTGTTTCACTACCTTACATTTAACATACGGGTACGAAGGACATGTGTTTCACTACCTTACGTTTAACATACGGGTACGTAGGACATGTGTTACACTACCTTACATTTAACATACGGGTACGTAGGACATGTGTTTCACTACCTTACATTTAACGCACGGGTCCATGTACATTCCATGTATTAGATACTACCTCAAAGTCATAGCACACTGTTGTATCTGTTACGATTTATTCGGCATTTTTTCTGACTTAGAGTTACTTGCGTTTTTTATATCTAAAAGTTAAATGAATATACGAAAGTAAAATCTTTCTATTTGCTTTTTATGCTAGTGTACCTCTCCAATGTGAGATTGATTCTAATACGTTTTTTTCTATAGGGAGCATATTTGCTACTCTACCGTCCTAATATCTGATAATCTTGAATCTCAGTTATGAGATTTCAGTGTGTACCAAGTTAGAGAATTGTCATACTTCACGCCTCTTTGATCACTTGATTTTAGAGTAAGCGGATAAAGAATAAAACAATACAGGCACAGAAATAAAGGTAGGAAATATAGGATAACTGTGAACAGATCCCAACAACTTCTAACTTGAATTCCTGTTTATAACTTGGTTAGCATATTTTGATTTGAATGTCTTCAATGGTCTCAGTGAAATATACACCAAGAGACTTAAAGTTCGATTGAAGATGCAAAATATGATGTAGAACATTTTTTGTCTTAAATGATGTTATATGTATTCAGGTTTTCAGTGTTATATCTGGTAGAATGAACATAACTATCAGGGAGCGACAATTGGTTTATATGTGACAGTTTTCGCTTACGTAATGGTACATGTAGCTAGTGTCATCATTAAGTCGGCTGTCAAGGATATGGGTAACGCTATAACCATTATTGCAAAATTAGTTGGTAGTTTTTCAAGATCATACTTTATTAATTACACGTTTACTATTCTACACTTCACATGCATGTTGAAATGAGTAATTTCTAAGTTAGTTTTTTGAAGTAAAACGTTTTTTAAAAAGTTACTATATATTTGGACACTAACTGAAGGACTTTTATCTACATACTTTGTCAACTTATCGTTACTCAAACGGAACTCAGAGGTGTTCCCCCTATCAGTTATTTTAACATTAGAACATCTGCTTGTTATATATACGCACATTAGACCTATGTTAATACTGTCTGTATTTAGTATTTACTACAATAACGTGTAGTGTTGGTGAGCATTGTGATAAGGATGTATCAATTAGTTTTATCATAGTAATATCTAGTGACAGAATTACAAAGGGTTTTGTTCAATACCTAGGTACATGTGAATTGAAATGCAATATTCTTTCTATCCATTTTTTGTCTGTGTTAGTCTTGGACTAAGATACCAATAAAACAGAAATAGTCTATAATCAACGCCTGTCCTAACAGTTACTGTTGGGTATGGTATTATACCTCTTAGGATGTTCCATTGTTGTGACAACTGCCGATATTTCAGTATAATGTACCTATGATACTCTGGCCCATTAAAATGAAAACAAATATTTGCAAATGCTTAAAAATTTACAATACCTATAAAAATCCCCAGACCTTAACCTTTTATCAACACATAAAGCTTATCGTAATGAATATTAATACCTAGATGTAAAAACCAGAGAATACGTATATATACTGCGCAAAAGTAAAAAAGTCCAGGAAGATAAGGTACATTTAAGCAGTAAATAACAATAGGCAATTGTTATAAATAATACACCAGTATATAAACAATGCAATATAAATTTAGCACACTACTATAGCTACTAGGGTGTTGCCTTATTAGTTTATAAAACAAATTGAGCTGTGATTTCCTATGGTATTAAAGGTAGATTACTCATATACACGACGTAGTTGTGGAAGTCACCGTGTGTATTTATAAATGTATTTACACAACCCATGCAGTAATTAGACCGTAGCAATATATCTATTTATATCACATGCTACATATTGAACAGTACTTTGGCAGGAAAACAGCATATTACGAAATGTTTATAGCAAGGAACAGATGGAATATAATTACCCATAACAGTTAAATGACATATTTGTTATTCATTATAGAATATGTCAATTCATGGAATTGTATTAACCTTACAGATATCGACTTTAGCCTGTGTAAACCGGTTACTTCTACAGAATATAAAGATAGGTAATTTCTAAAAATAGATGTTACGCTGACGAAACAAAATTATCTCCCTTTATCAGTGTTATGATTTCGGAAAGCGCCCGGACAAACATTCTGAGAATCCCTGAGATGGATGTATTCCCGACTAACGCCATATATGGAATTGTATTACTTAATGTGAGTATATATTTCACGCTATGAGATTTTGATGCTTGTTTTATCTTTTGAAAGCATGACATTTTTATTGACTTAAAATGCTTATAATTAGATATTAATACAGCCGTTCTAACCAAACCTAGCACATGATACAGGTAATCAGAGTACGTGTTAATATTAGCTCAGTATAAACATGAGTAACTATGACGCTGATTATTTCAATCCTGATGTATTTGTAGTGCCATTTAAAATATTTTCTTCAGTGAAGAAAATGATTCGAAAGTGCCAATTCCTATCAAATCGCTCAGTTTGCCGTTACCCTATATAAACTAATTATTCAACCAACCTATTCATTAGTCACGTTCTCCCACTAAATACCATACAAACACTAATTTATAACGACACCATCACAAACCTAGTGAATCCGCCTACCTACCCATATAAACAACGAGATACACTACCACACGAGACACAAACATAACTTAACACACGAACAACGAGATACACCAACACAAAACGAGACAAAAACATAACTTAACACACGAACAACGAGATACACCACCACAAGACGAGACACAAACATAACTTAACCCACGCACAACGAGATACACCAACACAAGACGAGACACAAACATGACTTAACACACGAACAACGAGATACACCAACACAAGACGAGACAGATGTACAACTTAACACACGAACAACGAGATACACCACCACCCGAGACACACACATAACTTGACACACGCACAACGAGATACACCAACACAAGACCAGACACATGTACAACTTAACACACGCACAACGAGATACACCAACACAAGACCAGACACATGTACAACTTAACACACGCACAACGAGATACACCAACACAAGACGAGACACATGTACAACTTAACACACGAACAACGAGATACACCAGAATTTGTTATTGAAAATCACACATGTGCTGTAAAGATAATCTAATTTGTTTGCTATCCAGTTTACACGTGGAGAAGACAGGAGACTGTCGTACTTCCAAGTTAATTTACTGCCAGCATTTAAACCAATGTTAGCCTCTTCTCTTATTGAGAAGATGATAGCGCGATATATGTAGAAATAAATAAAAATAATTTAACGTTAACTGATCAAAACCTATATAGATTTAGCTGTATCGTGTAGTTGAATGGTATTAACAAAAATGTACCATTCGGAAGGACAGACAAATATTTCTAGCTAAAATACACCCGAAACCAGCTGTTTCTCAAATACCAACCAATGACATTTCTAGCTAGAGGAAGACGAAATATAGCAACAGCATCGACAATGTCGTGGTCTGCCCACCTATTGCTCCCCCTTTCCTTTATACAAATATAATGACTGTCCTAGAGGGCGCTTTTATATCTAGGCGGCCAAGTGGCGGTGCTCAGTGTAGAACGTGAGGAATAATTTAGTCACGTGTTTGAGAAAACAATAAAGACAAAAAGTCAAATACCCTGCTATTAATGGGAACTGTGCAAAACAGTTGCTTTTCGGTCTGAACAAAATATGCCAAACATCTTAACCAACGTAAATTATACACATAATCACATAGACACACTATCATTTTCACCAAAAATATATATGTATGTTACATAGTTATGTTTAGATTATGAGAATGATGTCATGAGCATTAATAGCAACGTAATAATACCCGGATGTACCCGGATATATAAATTAATGTGGCCCAAGCAACCTGCTCCAGTTCTAAAACATCAAAGAAGACATATAAACCAGGCACCAGAGGAACATCATCAAAGTTAGATGTAAGTCATATCTTATTATATTTCTCTTAATTTTAACACATACTATCACTAAAACGAAGACATTATTAATTATAGTTATATTATCAGTCGAAAAAAGTTAAAATACTGTACAAGGTACTAATCGAAAGTTTTGAAATCATTTCTATTATAAGATGACCTTTACAACTTTATAGTATCGTTTCATTACTTTGTATGTTTTCATAATTTTAAAGTTATTATCAATAACATCCTCTAAGTACGAAAAAAAATGTGATCACTTGAAGTGTTGCAGCCGGCGTATTTATTGTCTAAGTTTTATCATTTACATACCCGAAGGACAAACACACTCTGCTTAATGTATCATGATGTATATTTCCAAGTAGAATAGCTACAATAAATGGTTATCAGAATTTAGTAGAAGCTTAGATGTTGTGTAGGAGAGAAATCAGAAATACCAGTGATATTGTGTGTGAAACGGTTGTCATTAAATTATAAAAATGATTATTATCAAAGCCGCGACCAATTTATTAGATTCTGGGATAAGGAATCTTTCTTAACCTTTTCGGGGGAAAAAAGAGATTTAAAAAACAAGTTAACAATAATTGACATTAATTGTAATAATACATATAGATGGTTAAAATGAAATAAACTACCATGTCGATGCCAACAATCAGGTTATATTTTCAGGTTCTATAGGCCTTTTTGGAAAACATCATGATTAAGAACAAAATAAGTGTAAGCGCTCATTTGAACATACTGTTACAGTAATAGGTCTAGCAATGGAAGTAAAGCTTTTTTGATTTCAGGTGTATTGACATTTTGCTACTACAACTAAATTTGCTTACTACACACAATTTTCTATTTTAAAACCTCGCGTTCTTAATATATCTGTGCATGAGCATAGCATACATTAATATATTGATTAACATGTAATATATCGGCAGGACGCAAAGAAAACGCGTTCTGCACATCAAACACCGCCAAATATATGAACGTTGAAACGTTACATCATGTTCCATTATCTCTAAAATTGGAAGAAATAAAGTCATTTGTAATGTAGCAATGAGCTTCAGAATTCCATGGGCAACGTTTCATGGCATCAGATTAAAACAAAAATCAAAAGGAGGCTCACGTGTAAATATCAAAACATACAGCTGAAGAATAAGATAAGATACGATTGCATTGGTTGAAGATCATAACGTCCTACATTGATGAAATTAAATTGAAGACAAGTGCAAGTTAAAACAACAATTAGTCTGCTGAATAGAATATAATACTATTTTATCGGACGATATGTTCATTTTAATGAGATACATTGCATTTATTTCTATGCTTATTAATTAAAGTAGCTGCTTAAGGTAAGAATTGTTCTACTTGAATACCTACTGAAATTCATCTTAAACGAATGGCACAAAGTATACTGACGTCAAAAATCATTCAACGTTAAATAACCCTGTTACTTAGGAAATGCACACATTAAATTTAAAACTGGGGTAAAATGACGTAATATATCAAACGTGTACCGTAATAATCACCAAATATGCCGAAACCTTATTATGCAAGGTCGCACAGATTGGTAAGAAAATATGACATCGACCAAAAAAACAAAAACAAATCATTACATTTGGAGTTTGGGAAGGTTTAACATCTCCGACAATGCTTCAGGCACCAATGGCGGTATCGGCAGTCATAGCAATGAAAGCGTTCTGAAGCAACATACCTGATTTAGGTAATAGATATACAAAAAATATGTAATAGTAAAAAGTCAGACACATTGAAGCGAAATAAGATGAAAATGAAGAAAGGAAGAATCTATTATAAAAAGAAAAGGGAAAGCATGTTGCTGAAACTTATGACCATTTTGTCCATTTAGGACTCATCTGTGTTACTAAAGGTTAACCATTTACATGTTTAACATCGTATGGCATTGCCACTATATAACCCTACTAAATTCATATCATAATTGTTAGGTTGGATACCGCTGACGCTCCCTGGTCGACGGCTGTTCTATTCTTTGAAAAAAGCATACACGATACATACACTATTTGAGCTAAATGCTGAATAATAATAGGTGTAAATAGTTTTATTATGAGATGAACAGGTTCCAAAAATGGTTAATATAAGTATTGAACTGCTTTCAGTTGGCATTCATAGACAAAATTCAATGAAGCGCGCTAGTGCTTCATGTTGAATTTGCCTTTGTCCAGTTGACATCCATATTGCCTATGAATGCCAACTGAAAACAGTTCAATGCTTAAATAAATCCATGTCAATGTGTTCCGTGTGTGGAAAATATCAAAATGAAATGTGCCTATAAAACTCCAGTAGATATACTTATATGCATTCAATAGTATACACACTTCTATTCCTAGAACATCAACAATGAGTCGAACATGGCAGTCATTTGTTTCCAAACGACGAAATCCTTCAAAGCGTGGAAAGGAATCGGCGTTGACATTCTGGGTTGTGGACCACACTTGGCAGTCAGGACTATTTGATCAGTTCGAAAAAGTCTGCAATACTGTGTTACAAGTAAAACCTACCAGGGTATCTCCCCCTGAGATGGTTTCTTATTGTCAGACAAACCCAATGCGTATCAGCCGTTCGGAATACCCTCTTGTAACTAGGAATGTCGTTGGAGACGGCAACTGTTTTTTTCGGTGTATAAGTTACCTGCTGTGTGGTTCCGAGGAGCTACACATGGCTGTAAGGAACTGGGTTGTGTGCAATATATCTTCGCGGGATGTCGGGATGTCAGTAGCTCGCTATGTCCACAGTACCAGAATGGACAGAAAAGGAGTATGGGCAACTGACCACGAAATTATCGCCACAGCAAACATTCTAAATACTGATATCTTTGTGTTCTCTAAGTATGCAAGCGACTGGAAATGGATGGAATTCAGATGTAAGCGAAGAAGACGACGACGAAATATCCCAAAAAGGTCAATATTTTTGTATCACTATCGGCAGTGTCATTTTAAGATAGTATTTTCTGTAAGACATGTCGGACAGTAAAGTCGAACACTTGTGAAAGTCAGACAGAATGGTTCGGTAGGTAGTGACACCGTGGCGACTTGTCCGCATGTACTTTCTATATCTGTGATATACTTTTGTTACCATTATAAACAATATGATACAGATGGTATCGGATATTATTTACGGAAGTAGCGATCCAAGTGACAGTCTGAAATATAGAAATTTAACAATATCTTCGTTTTAACGTCACAAAAGTGTAAGAATTAAGATATTAAATGTTACCTGCATAATACTGCTACCTATGTAGGACCCGTTATTTAATTTGTTGGTCTCGAAAAAAACCTCAAAGTTTCAGTCAAAATTATAAAATTATTACATCGTCACATATATGACTTTTTATCAGAGAGCTCAGACATTCTGATAGGTTGGTAAATACTTGTAAAAAATGTAAAATGTTCAACAAAAGAAAGAAACATTTTCATATGACACGCTTCTTCTGTTTTTGATATATTTAAGGTAACAAATAATAATGCATATCTTCCTCTACCCATCTTCTAATGATTCTGTATTGGAAAGTGTTATTGCATGAACTGTTAATTGATGGAAATTAAACTTTCAAAATAGTATTCAAGTATTTTGTTTTACAAACCGAAATAGGAATCAGTGTCGACTTCTGCCAATGTGGTGTCAATCCTGATACCGGGACAAAAAACGATAGGTAGCTATATATTATTAAAATAATTACTCTGTGTTACAAACAATAGGGGACATCTTCAATACTTGTTATCATTAAAGCACTAGTTTCAGAAACACCTAACCACATAGCAAACACATCACCCAACGTTTGACCTTACACTCAAACCATGACCAACTATTACATTGATTGATACAGTACTATTACATTAATTAAAACAGTACTATTACATTGATTGATACAGTACTGTTACATTGATTGATACAGTACTATTACATTGATTGATACAGTACTATTACATTGACTGATACAGTACTATTACATTGACTGATACAGTACTATTACATTGATTGATACAGTACTATTACATTGATTGATACAGTAATATTACATTGATTGACAAAGTAATATTACATTGATTAAAACAGTAATATTACATTGTTTAATACAGTACTATTACACTGATTAACAATTAGTATTACACTGATTAATACAGTACTATTACATTTATTAATACAGTACTATTACATTGATTAACAATTAGTAGTACACTGATTAATACAGTACTATTACATTGATTAAAAATTAGTATTACACTGATTAATACAGGACTANATATTACATTGATTGACAAAGTACTATTACATTGATTAACACAGTACTATTACATTGATTAACACAGTACTATTACATTGATTGACAAAGTACTATTACATTGATTAACACAGAACTATTACATTGATTGATACAGTACTATTACATTGATTGACAAAGTAATATTACATTGATTGATACAGTACTATTACATTTATTAACACAGTACTGTTACATTGACTGATACAGTACTATTACATTGATTGATACAGTACGATTACATTGATTGATACAGTACTATTACATTGATTGACAAAGTAATATTACATTGACTAAAACAGTACTATTACATTGATTGATACAGTACTATTACATTGATTAACACAGTACTGTTACATTGATTAACACAGTACTATTACATTGATTAACACAGGACTGTTACATTGATTGACAAAGTAATATTACATTGATTAAAACAGTACTATTACATTGATTGATACAGTACTATTACATTGATTAACACAGTACTGTTACATTGACTGATACAGTACTATTACATTGATTAATACAGTACTATTACATTGATTAACACAGTACTATTACATTGATTGACAAAGTAATATTACATTGATTAAAACAGTACTATTACATTGATTAAAACAGTAATATTACATTGATTAACACAGTACTGTTACATTGATTGACAAAGTAATATTACATTGATTTAAACAGTACTATTACATTGATTGATACAGTACTATTACATTGATAGATACAGTACTATTACATTGATTAACACAGTACTGTTACATTGATTAACACAGTACTATTACATTGATTGACAAAGTACTATTACATTGATTTAAACAGTACTATTACATTGATTAACACAGTACTGTTACATTGATTGACAAAGTAATATTACATTGATTAATACAGTACTATTACATTGATTGATACAGTACCATTACATTGATTGATACAGTACTATTACATTGATTGATACAGTACTATTACATTGATTAACACAGTACTATTACATTGATTAACACAGTAATATTACATTGTTTAATACAGTACTATTACACTGATTAACAATTAGTATTACACTGATTAATACAGTACTATTACATTTATTAATACAGTACTATTACATTGATTAACAATTAGTAGTACACTGATTAATACAGTACTATTACATTGATTAAAAATGAGTATTACACTGATTAATACAGGACTGTTATATTGATTATTGATTAAAACTGTATTATTACATTTATTTATACAGAACTATTACACCAATTAATACAGTACTGAAATAGTAAATCAATGTTAATTTGAATAAACAATTGCTTTCTTACTGAGTACATGTAGTCATTGGAACATTAAGTAATACATCACTATTGCATTAAGTAAGTAATACATACATGTAAGTATTGAACAAGTACATGTTATACACTACTTTACATTAGGCAGGTAATGAATATTTGCTATATTAAAAAAGAATAAGTCACTGTTATATTAAGTGAAGCAACACTGCCTCGTTATTTCAGCAAAACTGTATAGGTAACACACCTCTGTTACATTGAGTAAATGATAAATCAATGTTACTTAAACTTAGATTTAAATCAATGTGACCCTAGGTCAGTTATATATAACTGTGACACTAGGTCAGGAAAGGTCAGTAATACATAACTGTGACCCTAGGTCAGTAAAGGTCAGTAATACATAACTGTGACACTAGGTCAGTAATACATAACTGTGACACTAGGTCAGTAATACATAACTGTGATACTAGGTCAGTAATACATAACGGTGACTCTAGGTCAGTAATAGATAACGGTGACACTAGGTCAGTAATACATAACTGTGACACTAGGTCAGTAATACATAACTGTGACACTAGGTCAGTAATACATAACTGTGACACTAGGTCAGTAATACATAACTGTGACACTAGGTCAGTAATACATAACTGTGACACTAGGTCAGTAATACATAACTGTGACACTAGGTCAGTAATACATAACTGTGACACTAGGTCAGTAATACATAACTGTGACACTAGGTCAGTAATACATAACTGTGACACTAGGTCAGTAATACATAACTGTGACACTAGGTCAGTAATACATAACTGTGACACTAGGTCAGTAATACATAACTGTGACACTAGGTCAGTAATACATAACTGTGACACTAGGTCAGTAATACATAACTGTGACACTAGGTCAGTAATACATAACTGTGACACTAGGTCAGTAATACATAACTGTGACACTAGGTCAGTAATACATAACTGTGACACTAGGTCAGTAATACATAACTGTGACACTAGGTCAGTAATACATAACTGTGACACTAGGTCAGTAATACATAACTGTGACACTAGGTCAGTAATACATAACTGTGACACTAGGTCAGTAATACATAACTGTGACACTAGGTCAGTAATACATAACTGTGACACTAGGTCAGTAATACATAACTGTGACACTAGGTCAGTAATACATAACTGTGACACTAGGTCAGTAATACATAACTGTGACACTAGGTCAGTAATACATAACTGTGACACTAGGTCAGTAAAGTTCAGTAATGCATAACTGTGACTCTATATCAGTAATACATAACTGTGACACTAGGTCAGTAATCCATAACTGTGACCCTAGGTCAGTAAAGGTCAGTAATACTTAACTGTGACACTAGGTCAGTTATACATAACTGTGATTCTAGTCAGTAAAACATAACTGTGAAACTAGGTCAGTAAAACATAACTGTGACACTAGGTCAGTAAAGTTCAGTAATGCATAACTGTGACTCTATATCAGTAATACATAACTGTGACACTACGTCAGTAATACATAACTGTGACACTAGCTCAGTAATACATTACTGGGACACTAGGTCAGTAATACATAACTGTGATCCTAGGTCAGTAAAGGTCAGTAATACATAACTGTGATACTAGGTCAGTAATACATAACGGTGACACTAGGCCAGTAAAGGTCAGTAATACATAACTGTGATACTAGGTCAGTAAAACATTACTGTGACACTGAGTCAGTAATACATAACTGTGACACTACGTCAGTAATACATAACTGTGACACTACGTCAGTAATACATAACTGTGACACTACGTCAGTAATACATAACTGTGACACTAGGTCAGTAATACATAACTGTGACACTAGGTCAGTAAGACATAACTGTGACACTAGGTCAGTAATACATAACGGTGACACTAGGTCAGTAAAGGTCAGTAATACATAACTGTGACACTAGGTCAGTTATACATAACTGTGATTCTAGGCAGTAAAACATAACTGTGAAACTAGGTCAGTAATACATAACTGTGACACTAGGTCAGTAATACATATCGGTGACACTAGGTCAGTAAAGGTCAGTAATGCATAACTGTGACACTAGGTCAGTTATACATAACTGTGATTCTAGGCAGTAAAACATAACTGTGAAACTAGGTCAGTAATACATAACTGTGACACTAGGGCATATATACATAACTGTGACACTAGGTCAGTAATACCTAACGGTGACTCTATGTCAGTAATACCTAACTGTGACACTAGGTCAGTTATACATAACTGTGATACTAGATCAGTAAAACATAACTGTGAATTTAGTAAAAATATTTAATAAAATCCTACAGTGATGTTTATTTAAATCAGAGATGCAGTACTGTTATAATGAGTAACGCATTACTACTTTTGAGTTAAGGGGTCTCAGAGACTTTCTAACGGCCTGACGTCACCAGATAATGTCGTGATATCGGCACTAAACCGGAAGTCATCAGTGTCACGGCCGTGTTGTTGGACACGTGTCATACAGTCACATCAGTATATGTAATGGTACAATACAACAACACAATAATCAGTAGGCAACAGTATCAGACAATATGTAAGGTTGTTCATACACTCCGACAGTTCGACCTTCTTCATTTATTAATGTTTTGCTAGAACTTTATATTTGAAAATGATTCAAATGACATGGCAATACGTCTTAACAAACAATTAAACAAAGTACAATAAAGCATTAGGTACAAACCAAACAAAAATACAGAACCGACACACATTTGAGTGAGCACTTACTTTACCAATTCAAAATAGACATGAGTGTGTTTTCCAGTTTTGGCCCCGTGTTTCACATCTATCAGTTCCTGTCTGATACACAAACATATTCTTTTTAATGTGAGATCATATACTACGAGAAAAAACCTAATGAAGCCTTTATTTGGTCATATATCAAAAAGTTAGTTTCCGTTTATAGGTTTTATTCCAAAGATTTTCCTCGCATGCAAACTAACAATAATTGAGTTTTGTTTAGCGGAGTTAATGAGATGACATAAAATTGGGCTTTTCAAATCGCAATACTTACAATTTCGTGTATAGAAAACGAATAGGTTCTGTATTAGGATGAGAAACGGAATGCAGAATTGGTTCTGTAGTTTATTCATGTAATTGCATAGTTGCCGGAGGCTAGCTGACCTTCACATTACATTAAATAAGTATACAGTGTATTATCATTAAAAAACCCATTATAAACTGGAACCAACTGTTAACAAATGTACCGAGCAAAACAGTTGTTTACTTTTCAATTTGCACAGCCGAATGGTTATTTATCAAGAGTGTCTAATGTGTTGACATCTTGTTATAAAACATATATAACTCAAATGACTTTGTCTAGATTGAACCTGCTTCAAGCCTTAACATTAGTAGCCAAAAAAGACACCGTTACAAAGGGTTCATATCTGAAAGACTTCAGCCTACATTAAACAAATACAGGATTAGTCATCACGACTGATTTCAAACGTTCAAGTTCTCGCTTATAACTCTACTCATATGTCTAAGATAGTTTGATTTCATAGGATTTTTAACGCTTTTCCCTAGGAACTGTTTAACACCACCAGTTTTTGTCACGAAGAGGTCATAATGTCTTTCAGCATCAACTCTGAGCTCCTATTTGCTCTGCTACTTGTTTGGATACCCGTTGTCCGCCCTTTTGTTGCCGACTTATGATGTCTTTGTTTCGTTGTCACTTCTGTTGTTGTTACTGTTCTGGCCTTGTCCTGATGTACAATGTAGTTGACGATACGGTGATTTATTTTACGTATTGCATAATCGATGCTTATGAAAATGTTTTGTGAATGCTTACAGGTTTAACTGATAGACACGTCCACAAGGTCGCGCTAGGATCATGAGGATGCAATAATTCTGGAGGCTTCTTTGGTTTCTATGGAAACTGGGAGAATGACACATATAATCAAACGGCTTACATTCCAGTCCTGACTGATACACCGCAGGTAAGCACCAAAGTTTTACAGGAGAATAATGGACGGAAAGCAATAATTTGACGTATTAAGGACTTGAATAACATTATAAATATTTATGATGTAATGCAACACAGTACGTGGGCACCCCAAAGTGCGTTAAGAATATTACATTTTGAATGCTTGTATTTATATTAAGAAACTAAAATTAAGATTACCTTTTTTCTGTAATAATTCTAATGGTCCAGGTTATATTTAAAAAAAAAAAGATCAAATGACAGAAAATATCTTTCATGGTGTTGCATTTAGCTACGATTAGTCAAATCAATAAAAACAAAATTCGTCAATATTTCAATTCGATGTCACTGCATGATTGGTCCCAGATTGCCATAACAACAAACAATTTCTGATTAAAAACAAACAACAACAAAAATACACGTGATAATAATTTGACAAGTGGAGCAGTTAGTTTGCTATTTTCCCCTGTAACAGGATATACCACATCACATTGATATTTTCCCTGTAACAGGATATACCACATCACATTGATATTTCCCCTGTAACAGGATATACCACATCACATTCAGCAACAGACATCGCCTTAGAGCAATAGACAAATAGTTAACAAACTTGCTATGAAGCTTTCACATACTGCGTTACTTTTGTATTTTATCTGTGTCCTTTGTTAATTATTATATTTTCGAGAAAATCTACTAAAATTGTCTAAATTGTTACAAGAGCAATGTCAATTTTGATTTTGTTCATTTAAATTCTTGATAAGATAAGTCTAGTAGGTGGTAAACCCGCGGTTTAGACATATTCTTTACCCCCTGGTGGTATTTCCATATCCCTTTAACCTACATATGATATGATTTATTATGTACATACGGGCAAAATAGACTTTAGATATGCAAATTCAAGAAGGTGACGAATTATACATTTGCTATATAATGTAAATTAAGGAAATAATGCGTTAACTAATTTTGCATACACCTTTCATATTCATAGACAAAAAATATCTTTATATGCTTTTCAAACTTAGTTATACAATTGCATATGGTTTTATTATTTCTTGATATTTTTCATATATCAAGAGTAAAATCCCGAGAAAATATTCCCTCCCTGCAGGTTTTGTAATAAAAAGTAAGATATGGAAAAAAACGTTCATTAGTCGTTTTTTTAACAATCTTTTGCATTAAATCTGGGACAAAAACGTGAAATATTGACATCGGAAATAAATAGCATTGATTATTGTATCAATATTTAAATTATCATTTTACAGAGGATTCAACGCTTAGAATATGAAAAACACGTCTAAAATCCGAGTTGTCATTGCTTGTCGATGAAACAAGGGGAGTTACAGTGCCATCAGGATGAGTGTGGCTCGGGTATTTCTACAGGAGAGTTACAGTGCCATCAGGATGAGTGTGGCTCGGGTATTTCTACAGGAGAGTTACAGTGCCATCAGGATGAGTGTGGCTCGGGTATTTCTACAGGAGAGTTACAGTGCCATCAGGATGAGTGTGGCTCGGGTATTTCTACAGGAGAGTTACAGTGCCATCAGGATGAGTGTGGCTCGGGTATTTCTACAGGAGAGTTACAGTGCCATCAGGATGAGTGTGGCTCGGGTATTTCTACAGGAGAGTTACAGTGCCATCAGGATGAGTGTGGCTCGGGTATTTCTACAGGAGAGTTACAGTGCCATCAGGATGAGTGTGGCTCGGGTATTTCTACAGGAGAGTTACAGTGCCATCAGGATGAGTGTGGCTCGGGTATTTCTACAGGAGAGTTACAGTGCCATCTGGATGAGTGTGGCTCGGGTATTTCTACAGGAGAGTTACAGTTATTCCAACAAGAGTTCGGAGTACGTATCATTGACAAAAGGTCCATTAGACCATCCAGCGAAGTAAATGGACAGGCTGACGGACACTACAAGGTCAGTGAAGCTGCTGTAAAACGAGAAATTTTCTCTGAGATAAATTGAAATAAGATTTTTTTTTTGTGAAGGGGGAATAGCAGAATAATCAGATAAATGGACGGGAGGATGAACAACGTTTCTATGTTTAATGTTTTATAGACGTCGAAGGGGACGTGTGTCAGACCTCAAACAGGACTTTTAAATACCTATATACACGTATATATTGTAATGTTTAGCTGAAGACAGCCATTGGTGAAGGTACTGATTTTCTGCGTAAAGTAAAAATACAGTTATATGAAATCGGGAAGATATCTTTGTGAAATCGTCAATGTTTAAAAGAAGATGATTAGAACACCGAGTCTTCATCACAGGGATGTGGCACGGATCTGCATTAATACACATAGTTTAGGACCGTGTGCTTGAGGGTTTTTTCTACGTTTAATCTGTACTTAAAATACTTACAAAGTGTAAACATACTATAAAACTATATATAACAGCACCCAATTGTATCTGTTAAAGATTTAATCTATTTAATACAGTGTGCTTTAGTTGCATCTTCTATAATGAACCCATTTAAAGGATTTCTGTTCAGTAAAAGCTATATTTCGATATATTATATTAATTTATTTTATACTTTATTAAATATACATTAGTTATACTATATTCATTTAATTTATGTTTTATTTATATATTTAGACCCTTTTTAAAGAGATCTATCCACATATTTCCTGAACTTATTATTAACTCCAAGATGTTTGTGCTGATCTATTATTTTATTGAGATTGAAGTACAATTAAACTAAACGGGAGTTGTAGTAAGATACTCTCATGATTTAAGATTTGTCGGGGTGGAAAGGCAGTAGCCAGTCTTTAGACCATTTATCAAATATTCCTGTAAGTTTGCATTCACTACATACACAATGATGTCTAGTGTTTGTTAGGAGTATATCAATTCGTTTTAGTATGATCCGATACATAGTGACTTAAGTCCAGTGGGTTTTGCAAAATGATCTAGGTATATTTAAATAATTAATTATATCTGTGAAAAGAACGAAATATTTCTTTTGTTTTCTATTTTTTTCATTGTCAGTCCTAGGAATTCAAAACATATAAACAAAGACCCGAGAAAAAACCCAAAAATGCTAAGAACTGATTTCTACATTATCTTTGGATTCCTGATTGATATATTAATATATCGTTGTAAAAACGGGACAAGACAATACTGCACAAATTTATGTTAGTCCCGGAAGACAATCAAGCACTTATATGATAATCATAATTACAATTGTAATACCAGAACACTCGCTACTATACCGTAGTCTGACATAGCTAATCGATAACACCCATATATAAACAGTGTGTAGTGTGGTTTTCTTTTGTATCACAGGTAGGTCACACATACACATAACGTAGTGTATACACCTCACTTAACGTAGTAAGATATCTATTTATAGAGTCATACTTGTAGTTATATATTGATACCGGCTTTAACCGGTTTAAACCGGTTACTCGAGTGGAACTTATCTGATACCGACTTTAACCGGTCTAAACCGGTCGCGGTAATGGAACCTCTTGAATCAGTAATTTCTAAAAATAGATATATGCTGACAAAACAAAATTACCTCCCTTTATTTTAGTATTTTATAGTTAATCTTGGTCAGTGAGATGATTTCAGAAAACGTCCGGTCAAATTTTCTGTGACTCTTTACGTTGGATGTATTTTGGACTTACCACATATACAGAATTGTATTAATGAATGTAAGTATAAAATCCACTTAATTAAAAATATATTGTTTGGTGTTTTTGGTATTATTTTTGAAAGTTAGAGATATGTATTGACTGCTAATGTTTTCGCTAATGTTAGTTATACTATTGATATCGATATCAGAAATAGAAACCACATCAAATCCGAGGAATAATACTGGCTATGAGGGCATATGGCAGTCACCTCGTAATGTCATCGTTCTATTCGTTCTATTTAAAGTCCCCCCCCCCCCCCCCCCCCCCANCCCCGATAAATCATAATAATTCAATGATCAACCGATCGACTGACAAATGATCCTAGCACAATAGCATCGTTGTCGTCTGCCAACAGATCGTCTCACTCCTCATTTTATATTGATTGTCGACTATGAAGATGTTGCTTTATATATACCGTGAGGAGTATTTTACCTATGGAGTGATAAACAAGCGAAAGCGGTAAATCAAATAGCCCGTTGTCAAGGACAACTGTAGAATATATTTACTTTTTTATTTGCAGAAAATACCATATCAATACCAAGTTGAATGCACATCATCATACATGTATAGACAAATTATCATAATCACTGATGAAACCCGATTGTAATCGGAATAATAAATTCATATGACATGAGCAACTCTGCTACAGTCTAATATATATCAAAGCCTATATAAAAACCGTGTACCAGAGGATTCCCTTCAAAATTTTACGTAAGTCATTTGATTTTCCACTTACTTTCGATTTAAATACATATTGCTACTAGTGCTATAGAGAGTATTTGTTATATTTACAAGATCAAAAGAAACGTTGCCATTCTGCATCAAATGCTTACTGAACTTACTTAAGGTTAGTAAGTAAACTTTCAATTCTGAAATAGCAAGAAGTCGATTGCAACTATATCCAAAATATGGTAATCTTATAAGTAAATGCATTTTTCTTTGTATTGTTTGATTACATTGTATGTCTTGATTTGACCTTCAGTATTTCAGCCGATATCTCCATGTTTTGTTGTATTACATGTATCAAAAGCAGTGAACATGTTTTCTTTTTCTTTTTCCAACCATTTTGAAAGAACTCGTTAAACTCATGATATTGTGATTTAGAATGAAATTCATCATTTTGAAATGAAAGGAAAAATTCTAACAAGAAAATCCAGTAAGTGCGATAATCAAAGTTAATTTACACTATGTCCCAGACATTCTGTTTTTACACTATTTCCCAGACATTCTGTTTTTTACGTTCCTTATTGAATAAATGTATCTTACTGTTCAATTACAAGTGAAGTAGCTTCAATTGACATCATATCGTTGACAATAGTAATTTGAAGTAGGAACGAGCTCAATAAGAGATTGTGAAGGTGAAAAATCAGAAATGATAGAAATGTTATTACAGCTATGAGGAATACAGTAGAAACTTCAATAGAATATATATTTTATCTTTCACAAACAATTAAAGAGGAAACAGGAAAACATGACATAAGACAGATAAATTTAATTAACGTGAGGACTTCCATGTCGCAAGATGTAAACAGAAGCACGGTTCTATTCAGGCTGTAATTCGGAAAACATACTTTACCATATTTGTAAACGTTCATTTGAATATAACGTAACAGGCATTAATCTAAAATAAACAAATGTCATTAAATATGTAGTTGCACGAGTGCTAAAAAGTGCTTACTATACACAATTTTCTATTTTTAAACCTTACGTTATCTATGTCGCATGAACAGAGTATTCATTAACATATTGCTGACTATGTAAAATATCGGTATGACGTAAAGAACACGTGTTCTGCTCGTCACAAACCGCCAAATATATGAATGTTGAAACGCTGTATAACATTTCACTTTTCCTAAATACAATTTTATGTAGCCAGATTACAATATTGTTGTAAACAACAGAAACAAGATGTCCACCGGGAACATTAAGAGTATGTCATGGCTTCAGATTATAAGAAGAAAAAAACAACTTGAAGCCCTCGTCTTTGCCATGCGAATGTTAACGCTATGGCACTACTACAATGATACTTTCAAATACTCATAAAACTTGATTAAAAAGCTAACAAACAAATCTGCAACATCGAATGAAATAGTATCGATTAAACTATGTCAAGCCTGACTTATATACATTGATAAAGTATGAGAATCTATGTCAATGCTTTGTTTTGGTTTTGTGTTAAACGAGTTCCCGTTGTCGTTGATCTGTATCGGGTTTTGTCTTTGCGTTGTTGTAAATACATTAGTTCATTTTTCTTGTAACTCGATGCTTCATATTTTGTTTTGTTATAATTTCAGATTTAACAATGGCAGAACCATTAACAAATAATCCTGACGATTATGAAGATGCCAAAATGCATGAGGCTGCTTTGGTTGCTATGGAAACGGGGAACATGACGCCAATAATCAAACAGGAGTTACGGTGTTTAATACAGTCTAGACGTTTGGCAGAAGGCAAATCTGAATTGTACGTCGATTTCGTACCTCCGGTGATGACAGAGGTAGGCGCGATGTTTTATTAAAAGAAATGGGATGAAAGGTTGTGATACGACCTATAATACTAAGGATTGTACAACATGTTTTTTTTTGTTTTTTTTTGTTGTTTTTTTTTGTATTCGTTCCTGAAAAAGATTAAAGAAACTTTTTTTTTCATGTGACGGACACGACTTTTTTCTGGAAAAGGTCGAGTTTCCTATAATTACCATTTTGGTTAGGTGACAAATTCTATCAGAAACCATTCGACTGATTTTATGTTAATTATACCATGGCTATGCATGCAATTTTTGCTTTTGCCCGAACGATTCCTTGGTTAATTTGTACATTATCAGTATGAATTCATATCATGGTTTTAAAATGTACGATGATCTGCATTGAACATGTTTTATGCAGAAAATTGTAAGTTATAATGTGACTGTTTGATACTTTGTATTATAAAATAATGTGTACGTAACAAAATTCTGATGGAGAATACCTTGTTTTTATGATATCTATTTGTTATATTATTTACTTGTTTAACAGCTTACACCAGAAGAACTCTTAAAGAAAGAAAACAGACGGGAACAAAACAGAATAGCGTCCAGAAAATTCCGGAGAAAGCAGGCATTCTCGATAAATAAATTCAAGAAGGTGACGAATATAAAATTCAACGTTAAATGCATGTGTTATTTATTTTTTGCACACATACTCTATGATTAATATACGAACACATGAAATTGATATGTTTAAACTAATTGCTCATTTGTATATAATTGCATCCATTTTTTTATGTCATTTTCATTCAAGATTAAAATACCGAAAGCATATTTTCCTGGAATGTAATCTGAATGAGTAAATAATATTTTTTTTAGTAATATATTGAATCTGAATAAAAAAAAGTTGAAATAATGGAACCGAAAAGTAGTGTTTATTATTATTATTTTTTTTTTTTTTTTAGAGAATTCAACGCTTGAAATCTGAAAACACAAGACTATCATCAGAGTTGTCATCACTTGTCGAGGAAACAAACTCTTTACAAGGAAAGCTGCAGTCTGATCTGGAGGAGTGTGGCTGTGCCATTTCTACAGTAGCGTCTGACCCACAAAGTGCTGGAGTATATATCATAAGTAAAAGGGCCGTATAGCCGTTAAACCAAGCAAATGGACTGACAGACATATGATATATAAACTGAGTCAATGGAGCCTGGTATGTATACTGAGTCAATGGAGCCTGATATATATACTGAGTCAATGGAGCCTGATATACATACTGAGTCAATGGAGCCTGGTATATATACTGAGTCAATGGAGCCTGATATATATACTGAGTCAATGGAGCCTGATATATATACTGAGTCAATGGAGCCTGNATGTTATATGTTTTACATGCGAAATAAAATAAAATACAGTATAGTTTGTTTGAATATCTCTTTTTGTAACGCCTATGTTTACAGAAGGGTGTTTAAGATACTGAAGCTTTAAGGTGGGTCATGGTAACTGTCACGGAAATCATGATTGTAATAGTGATTTAACTATCAAAACAAGGAAAACACCACTATCGTCATAAAGCGTATAGCACTTCTTAGTGTTACGACGCTCCCGTTGGTCAATACAGTTATTGTAATCTAAGGAAAGCGAATCGACGATATTCCTGAAGGTGAAACTGAAAACAACGAAAAGAATAACCGCCTCATATACTGAAGGTACTTGCAACTAATGTGGGGTTATTACAACTAATGTGTGGTTATTACAACTAATATATGGTTATTACAACTAATGTGTGGTTATTACAACTATATGTGTGGTTGGTACAACTAATGAGTGGTTATAACAACTATATGTGTTGTTATTACAACTAATGTGTGATTATTACAACTAATGCATAGTTATTACAACTAATGTATGGTTATTACAACTAATGTATGGTTATTACAACTAATGTGTGGTTATTACAACTAATGTATGGTTATTACAACTAATGTGGGGTTATTACAACTAATGTGGGGTTATTATAACTATATGTGTGGTTATTACAACTAATGTGTGGTTATTACGAAAGTTGTATGCATTATCAATTAGTTTGATTGTAATCTTACAAAATTGTACTGCAATGTAGCATTCACTCGTCCTCATGCCATCACGTCTTCTATCTATCGTTTGATGATATTAACAGATGGACCTGCCTGTAATAATTTAGTATCGAGTGAGGAATATCGATGATAATCTAGATACATAGGCCTCATCATATTTTTAAAATGTAAACTTGTTTGACTTGCCTATCAACACATGAACGTTTTAAACAGGTGCTTGCTTACTTAGTAATCCTAATTGTTATTGTATTGTTAGCCTGACATAATGTCATTAATACGGTACAGCGCTTGCCAAATATTTTGTTGTTTTTGTATTAATAAACCGTTACATACATAATGAAAATGGAAAATTTGGTACTCGACGAAGGAAACAATGGAGAGCATGATACATTGTAGGCCCTGGTTTCATGTGATCCATACATTAATCATATGCTTATTATGAAACGATACCATGTGACAATATCTAACATTCTAATTTGTTTCCGTTGGGGTGATATCATGAGACAATCTAGTCAGAGGTTTAAGTGCCCTATTGAGGGGTCGTCGTCATTTTTTTAGCGTCATTCCGTTTCACAATTAAACACTTTTCTGGAAAATCACGTTCATCGTCACGTGCAGGTTATGCTTGTTGCATCCATTTTATATATCAAACAAAAAAAGAAGACATGTTTTAATATACCAAATACACTTTTGTGAATATAATGATATAAATCCAGCTGGAAGTAGATTACAGAAAGAAGAATGACTACAGTGTACCTAGGCTACTATTACAATGATCAGCTTCAGTATTTAATTGTATGGCAAACTACTTACACTACAAATGGTTTTACCGAACATTGTTGTTTCAAATAATAATATAATAATCCAACAATGAACAAAACAGAGACCATGTACATTATATCTATAATGCATCGGAGAAAGTATACTTTTCTATGTTAGAATCAATTTCATCTTGAACAAAAAGACATCATCAGCATCTTATTAGCTTAATTTAACTGTTAGGTCTGAAAAGGCATTATATCAAACCCAACTATGGCAGATAGTAGTATTTGCTATGGTAGTGTCGGTCATGATAGTGTGGGCCATGTTAGTGTTGGGCGATCACAGTGTAGACGATAGTAGTGTAGGCGATGGTAGTGTAGGCGATGGTAGTGCTGGGCGATGGTAGTACTGGGCGATCACAGTGTAGGCGAGAGTAGTGTAGGCGATGGTAGTGTAGGCGATGGTAGTGCTGGGCGATGGTAGTACTGGGCGATCACAGTGTAGGCGATAGTAGTGTAGGCGATGGTAGTGTAGGCGATGGTAGTGCTGGGCGATGGTAGTACTGGGCGATCACAGTGTAGGCGAGAGTAGTGTAGGCGATGGTAGTGTAGGCGATGGTAGTACTGGGCGATCACAGTGTGAGCGATAGTAGTGTAGGCGATGGTAGTGCTGGACGATGGTAGTGCTGGGCGATGGTAGTACTGGGCGACCACAGTATAGGCGAGAGTAGTGTAGGCGATGGTAGTGTAGGCGATGGTAGTGCTGGGCGATGGTAGTACTGGGCGATCACAGTGTGAGCGATAGTAGTGTAGGCGATGGTAGTGCTGGACGATGGTAGTGCTGGGCGATGGTAGTACTGGGCGATCACAGTGTAGGCGATAGTAGTGTAGGCGATGGTAGTGCTGGGCGATGGTAGTGTAGGCGATAGGAGTGTAGGCGATGGGAGTACTGGGCGATCACAGTGTAGGCGATAGTAGTGTAGGCGATGGTAGTGTGGACCAAGACAGTGTAGGCGATGGTACTGTGGGCCAAGACAGTGTAGGCGATGATAGAGTGTGCTATGGTAATGTGGGCCATGGTTGTGTTTGGCGATGGTAGTATGTGCTATGGTAGTGTGAGTCATGGTATTGTTGGGAGATGGTAGTGTGAGCGATGGCACTTTTGTATGTCATTGGTTCCTGTTGTTGGTTTCGTATTGACTTTGATTTTGAATTTTGTAATAAATGATTGGCTACCAGCTTCCAATCAGGTGCTAAATTCTGTACATTACTGTAATTGTTGCAATACGTTTTATATGATACAGCACGTAAATTACACTTATTTTAAACGTTGTCGATGTGACCTAGTTACATATAATGTTATGGACATTCCAAAAGTCTGGATAATTTAAAAGTATTCGAATACAACTTGAAATACATTGCTGTGGCTACTGGTGTCCGACCTCCAAATATAGGCATTGATAGTGGTTATTTTGAGGCAGCCTTTAACGTACTGCTTATAATGGTATAAACAGAATATGTCTTTGTAGTCGGGTGTCGTTCCTCTGTAGTCTTCAAATGACAAGTATCAGCCTAGTAATTGGTCAGGTTGGTTTACCTGACACCAATCAAATAGCTAGCCGCGTGCCTTCAAATTTGATTTGACATATTCCAGGGGTGTAGAGATCGAAAGTGACCGTAACCTCTGGATATCGAGGATGGAGCAGCCTCATACTAACTGCTTATAATGGCATATACAGAATATGTTTCTATGTAAAATGAGATACATTAAAAAGAAACAAAGCAATGCTCTTTAGATTTGTAATTTTTCCAAATGACTAGAAATGATTCAACACATGACCTGTCTGCTACGCTATAGATGCGTAGCATTAGTCATGTCAGGAAGCCTAAAATCACTAGTACTTGTAACAAGGGTTGTTTATATGGTAACTACTTAACATAAGGCTAATTTAAGGTTTGATTAAGCCTTATATTTCTATGTGTATAGTTTATTTTTGAGCGCTAAAGATGTTCGCTATCAGCTTTATCACAGGGAGATCAACTGACACCGAAGAAAGTCATCGATGAACGTATTTTCTAACGATTTTCTAACGATTCAATTTCTTGTTTTGCCATAATAAAATATTTAAATTATGACTTGGTTAGGAACGAAAATGCTTCTGAGGACTTGAATGGATGAATCATAAAGAGAGTTGCATATTTATTACAGACATTAAAACGAGGGTCACATATGTTATTACAGACATTGAAACGAAGGTCACATATGTTATAACAGACATTGAAACGAGGATCACATATGTTATTACAGACATTGAAACGAAGGTCACATATGTTATAACAGACATTGAAACGAGGGTCACGTTTGTTATTACAAACATTAAAACGAGGGTCACATATGTTATTACAAACATTAAAACGAGGGTCACATATGTTATAACAGACATTGAAACGATGGTCACATATGTTATTACAGACATTAAAACGAGGGTCACATATGTTATTACAGACATTGAAACGAGGGTCAAATATGTCATTACAGACATTGAAACGAGGATCGCATATGTTATTACAGCCATTGAAACGAGGGTCCGTACGTTATTACAGACATTGAAACGAGGGGCACATACGTTAACACAGACATAAAAACGATGGATTGTTATTAAAAATATTATAACGAGGGTCACATATGTTATTACAGACATTCTTACGAGGGTTACATATGTTATTACAGACATTAAAACGAGGGTCACATATGTTATTACATATGTTAAAACGATAGTCACTTATGTTATTAAAAATATTACAACGAGTGTTACATATATTATTACAGACATTATAACGAGCTTTACATATGGTATAACAAACATTATAACGAGTGTAACATATATTATAACAGACATTGTAACGAGTGTTACATATATTATTACAGACATTATAACGAGTGTTACATATTCATTACAGATATTATACGGGTGTTACATATTTATTACAGATATTGTAACGAGTGTTACATATATTATTACAGAATTATAACGAGTGTTACATATGTTAAAACAAACATTATTACAAGTGTTACATATATTATTACAGACATTGAAACGAGGGTCACATATATTATTACAGACAATGAAACGAGGAGGGTCACATATGTTATTACAGGCATAATTACGAGTGTTACATATATTATTACAGACATTATAACGAGTGTTACATATTTATTACAGACATTATAACGAGTGTTACTTATTTATTACAGACATTATAACGAGTGTTACATATTATTACTGATAGTACAACGAGTGTTACATCTCTCTTATTACCAGGGGCCACATATGGGCTTCACCTATCGGGCTAAAAATGGTTAAATTATATTATGTGATACTTTTGTTTTCAGGTGGAGGTTATATAAGTATTTATACTACCATGATTGTACCGTTGACTTAGATAGCGTGTTAATGCACACATAAATAAGACATATTAATAGCAATATTCATATTGAAATTATTTCAATGCTTCGATTATCCTTACATTTGTATAACATACGGATTTGTATGTGGCAATAGCCCATGTGTAACAATGTATGTCTTTTTATCTACTATAATAACTGTCATTGTAAGAATACTAGTATACATATGTTATGTATCGCGTTGGAATGATTTTGCGAATTATATAGAGCGTTCCACAAATGTTGTATACGTTTCTATTTAATATTGACTATATATTGCTTCCTATCGGTACCGATGTTAAAACAACTTCCTCGATATCCTGAGCTATACATAGTTTTGGTTGTTTCCGTGTGCTATTTTAAGAAAACATGTTCACCTTTCGTAGTTATTGTGTTACATCGTTTAATATAATACACGATCTAGAGGCAGTCCGAAGAACAGTAAATCTATTTATATTGCTGACGAAACTGTTGCGATTGGGAGGGGACAAGACAAGCTGGTCTATGACTTTATGAAATGTTGCAGGGAATATAAAAGCTGCAGGTAATACATAGATACGAATATTGCATATGTAACCGAAAAGAGATGTAAATGATCGACATAATTGCACACCGTTCCTGTCGGCGTTTCTAGCCCCTACACACACGTGTTAGACATAACTACCTGTGTGTTTTATCAATGTATGTAGCGCTGCCTTACGCTGACCTACTTGGCTGTCAGGGCTCAATATAAACTGTGTATTACTATGTTTGCTACAACTTGCTGACTACAGAGAATGCAGAGCTTATACGTACGTGTGTGTAGATGGGTGTATTTTAAGTATTTCGTGTCATGCTATTAAAAGCTGACCAAAGTATGGTATTAAGAAGTTTACATACACCTATGATTTTGTTTACTGAAGGTTTCGTAGATGTTAACGTCTGAGTAAATATATCACAACAATAGTAACGTGTACACCGGTACCTGTATCGGAGCAATGTAACAATGTGACATGTTTGGATTTTTTTACATAGACATGCATATAACATGATAGCATTGTTAATATTTACATACAATTTATGTATAGCTTAGACAAATCAAGATATCATTTTGAGAGAAAAAAAGAAGTTATTTGATTTGATTCATGTCTCTGAGACAACTGATATGTAAAGAAATTTAATTCAAAGCATAGCCACAGCGGAATAGAACTACCACGCTGGCGCATCAGGGCGACTCGACATGTGCTAAAGACGATAAATTATCGCTACACCCAGACAAGTCTTTGGCAGATTATTATCACCGTGCATTGCATCTTTGTTAAACTTGTAAACGTAAGGACTGGACAGTGACTATAACTCTTGAAAAACTGCGTCACCAATCAACAAAAACCAGAGCTTAGGGTTATAAAACGATTAAATGTTGCTTATAGCCAACACGTTGATTGAAAAATTGTAAGATTAGCAGAAAAACTGTAAATGCACTGAGAGACCATATGCCGTTGATTTCCTTACAGTCAGTCGGATTTGGATTCTGTTCCGTTCATTATCATACACTATCCATCTGTGTTTATGATATAATGCCGTATGAAATATTTTTTAACATGAATTGTGTGTTAATAATGCGTAAATATGACGAATAATCAATACGTTTTTCTATGGGATCTCATAACGAATGAGCAAAAGTAGCGACTGGATTTTAACTTTATATATATATCAGAAACCATAATGGCTGTAAACCTCACCGAAGTGGATCCCAGTGACGAAGAAGAGTGCAAGCTAGCAGAGGCTGCTCTAGCCTGTTATGAATCAGGATGTCTTACTCCACTGATCAAAGAAGAATTGAAGTACAAAATACATACAAGACGGATGGAACAGGGCAAAGGGGAACTTCAGGTCCAGTTCACTGCCCCGGACAGATCTGAGGTTCGTTTTAACTGATTAAATTCAAAATAGATATATAATAATATCAAGACACAGTGGCATAATAATATGCAGTGTATTCCTGGCAGACTGTATCTTTTACAAATTTTTAAAGGTACAGTCATAGGCGTGTGTGTGTTTTAGGATCATCTTTCAAAGTAGGTAGGGATGATACCAGAACAAAACCAAAGACACCTTTTATCATTAACAAAATTGTTTCAGTTTGTTTTATCCTAGTTACCTGTGTGAATATCATGTAACACTGTTAAAGCGAATAAAAAAAGAACAAACTAGACAAACAAGGTTTAATGCTAACACTTATTACCGGTAAACGACCATTTCTTCTACAGCTGACAGCAGAGGAAGTTCTGAAGTCAGACAGAAGACGACAACAAAACCGACAAGCAGCACGAACGTTTCGCGAACGGAAGACGACATCGGCAGCTACTATGAATAATGTACGCTATTTAATCATTTAAGTTTTACTCTATTGGAAAGAAACTGTGTGAAAAGTATGATTCTTTTTTCGAAAATTTTTTTTAACATAAAAAAGCCTATTCACTCCTTGATATTCTAAGTAATGAAATATATTTATTATACGATATATTTATTCTTTTACGTTATTTTACAGACGTTGCAGAAATTACAAACTGACAACGCTCGACTTAACGCTGACATTGAAAGACTCGTCATGGAAAAGGAATTTTGGCAAGGAAAACTAAATACACTGCTGCTTAGTACAATAGAGGGTTATTTAGACTCGTGATATTGAGACCCAAAACAACATCAGGATGTTCAGTATGTGCTTCAAACATAATGACCTTAAGATATGTGGTAGACACGACATTGCATCAAACTTCTACGGTCTTTATTGGCCATTAATCCCACTCGGAATCTTACTAACGGATTTTACTGACGATTTGTCAAACGTGCATCATGTCTCTAGTCCGATGAAGTATTATCATTGTGTGGAACCGTATTCAGGTATTTTACACATGCGGGGAGGAGTGTCTTTGCATATATAGAACCTCCAGAGTTAAGAGACTTTAGTTCCCGAACAAAATCAGCAATGTCGAAGGTTCTGGATCGATCAATGTATAAAATAATATAAACACAGCTCGTGAGTAACATACGATATGTAAATGTTGTAGATTGGTGTTGCCTTGATCAATCAGACTTCACTATGACCTTACAAATACATACACAGTTGGTGTATAGTTAGAATGACATGTAAAGCTGCTTTACTGCCCGTATCTCATGATTCCTTTAATATATACTTTTACGGATAGTTAGATGTCAGGTGATGACAAAGTGTCTCTCCAGTTAATGATGTCTAACGTCTAGGCGTGTTTTATGTACAACTTACAGTGCTATGTAGTAATGAGTGCAGATCTGAACTGTCGCGTTTACCCATTACATCACACAGTTCTTCCATGTCTGATGTGTCCAAACGTGAAAATGATTCTTATAAAATGTTATCATATTGAAGATTTAAATGAATGTATTTTGATAATTTCCAATGCTCCGTGTGATTTAATGAGTGATTGTAAATGAATATGGGACCCTTAATGGACGTGCACCCTCGATTGGATCAACAGGTTTGACTTGGTGCGTGATGGTGTGTTTTTGAGATATTGAATGTATTATTATATTATCGATATGTTTTATTTGTTACAATTTTTATGTATAAAATATTGAACTTTGATTTTGTTTTGTTTGTCATCATCACATGAATCAGTCGTTATCTCACACATTGTTTACAAGTAAAACCAAAACTGATTTCTAGCACGTGTTCATTAACATGCCCTTACTGATGTGATATGAGAGCAAGAATAACACGACGTGTTTGTGTGCGAAACGACAGCGAGAAGAACCGAGCAGACCCCACAGAATGAATTCATGGAAGAAACATGTTGACTCCCTTCCACTCCCCTCCTCACCCCATACCCCACCCCCGACACAGCATGTGGTGCCCTATGTAACGTCGGTCTCTAATTATATTCAGCAAAATAATTTTTCCGTCATAAGCTAAAAAAACTCTTAGTTGGAAAAATCTTGTGTGTGTATGTAAGTACGTAAGTACGCTGTAGGCAAGTGGTGACACCATCCTAACATTAGGTTCGTCGAGTTGTTTTCATTTAAGTACAAAATACTTAATTGCAGTACACTGCTGACATGTACAGTGTTCCGTTAACGTTTGAACAAAATGTCAATTGTACTTGACCTGTTTGTGGTCACGGGGTCATCGTCAGGCGTACTCAAGAATTAGGGGTGAATGTGTAAACGTTCTGTTGATTTACATACACCGCTACAATAATCGTGTAGTAGGTATATAAACAGGAAAACGAAACTTATCATCCCCGTAATGCGTTATCTACAGTGTGGAGTATTTATTGTCAGGGGTAAAAGTGAAACAACGTCAATGTTCTCGGAATCAAGGTATGGATTCTTTCTGCATTTGCGTACTAAAATGTGGTGTGTCCCATCACTAGAGTACCACAAAAGCATTACTGTAAAAAATGACCGTTATGGAGTGACATAGACATCGATGATAAGACTATAGACATGTAAGTTTTAACTATTTATGTTTGGTCTATATTAAAAATATAGTGTGCTCATTTGTATGTTTTTTTCTTTTTGTAAATATTACTAAGAAAGAGAAACGAAAAATGACCTCTGTTAACTATTTTCAGAACGCACATAACTATACTATGGAACATCAGGTCCATAGGAAACTTGCTCTTAATTTAAGCGTAACGATATCCTGTCTGAACGGTATTCAATAAATCACTTACCAGATGACAACACATATTCCATCGTATGCAGGTATGCATTAATGACTACTGAGACAATAATAGAATAACCCTTCGGTGGTGAAATAGACATACGTTACATACCTGTGTTGTATTATTTCATCACAGCTATTTCTGGCACTATATCAGGTTGATTTTGAATACACTGTACCTGCACCTTGTAAATCTCGTATGATATTGGGACAAAGGATGTGCACTATCCTCGTACAGGAAGGCATTCTTCTCATTACAATCGTAAAAAGGTCCAAAAACCACCAATATTCATCTTCAAAGGACTAGGTTGAAATGCATATGACATTTGACCAATGGAGATATAAATGAATAATAAAAAATATATAACATTACAATTTCAAATTTTAAGAAATAACCCGAATGACGACAACAACAATAAATATTTAAAGTATATATATATTTGATCAAATCAGAGATAAACGTATGGTATGCGTTTTACGCAATTCTTTCTCCGGTTTATTTATAGATACACTATAAGGAAATTTCCAGCGACAAAGTAATAACCTGATGCAATATTCTCTACAAGCAGTTCGAACTTTCTAGACTAAGGAAGACTTTCAGCTGGTAGAGAAGTTCTTCAGGGACAGAATCAGGAGCACGTGCAATCATTCGATAATAAATCAGCCACGAGCTGTCTTTCACTTGGATTAGCAGCTTATTGACCTCGATATGTCGTGTATTTCAGACGTTCGCTGAGAAGTGCAATGTATCGATTTCGAGTTATGAGGAGAAGCACCGACTGAAGTAAGTTAGACACACGAATAGTTTCATGTGATCTGGAAACTGTGTACAGTAAGATCAAATCGTAGATTTTGAAAATGTTCCAAGAAACAGAAACTTGGAGGAAACATCATTAACAAAGAGTAATTAAAGCACTACATAGTTCATTTTGTTTCTCCTTTATGAAACTGTTCCAGATCGATAGAATTTATAGTTTTAACATATTGTTTGTAATACAAATGTTTAGAAATTAGGAAGGTGTAATTGAAAACAAGTAAATCGTGCCAAAATTCATCAACTTCCGGTTTCGAAATGCCTGCAAAGGAAATTGCTTCACAAGTCCAAACTACGTGCCACTATGGTAGCGTGGCGACCGCTATTTAACGTGTCTTCCGTCTCCTGGCGACCTTTGTCTCTGCATCCCGCACTCGTCATGAGGCTGACCAATCACTGTCACTTCAGACCACTAAATGCCGGTGTATGCACACGTGACCACGTGCAACAGAATACGCAGTTTGTTTTTGCTTTCTGTTTATTTTTAGAAAACCATTTGTTGTATATACGCATGAGTAGTTTTTTCCAACAAAATGCCCAAAATTCTAAGTACCTTTTATAAAGTAAGACGCTTAAGCAGAATATTTTCATTACAGTATATTCATTTTACGATGTGTCGAATACGTTGATTTGGACAAGAAAGGGATGACAGGTATTTGCCACTTATATTGATAATGAATTATATTTAAAACATATACAGCAATTAAGTGTCCACAGAACTGTGTAGATAAACTAGGAGCTAAATTAAGAGGTAAGCCATCGTTTCACAGCAACAGAATGTCAATCTTCATAAATCCGTATCTGAAAAGCTTCTACAAATAATAATATACTTCCAATTGACCGACTCAAGTTATTTAACCTGCACGTGACATTGTTCCATTGGTCAATATGTGTAAATGGTGTGTGATTCAAAATCTCGTATTTTATTTGCGTGTTATATTAATTGCCTTATGGGTACTTAAGTGTTATTGTCATGTGTCAACCGAAACACTTATGCTTAAGCAGTTCTCGCGCTTTTGAATCACCCTTAGTATGGAATGCAGGTAAAATGTATATATTTAATCATATGTAACGAGTATAGATGTTTGATTGGATAAGTATGTCATTATGAATTGTGACAATAGTTCATGTATCCGTGTGTTACATTTACAATGATAAATATTGACAAATCTGATATATTTCGTGAACACTGCTCCGAGTGTTAACATGAGCGGAAAGTTGTGTGGGGGTAGATTTATTCAATCGTTATTATATGAGGTGAGTTTGAATGTATCGTATACCACTATGTCTTAGAGACCCTATGTCTAGACGCCCAAGTCTAGACAGCGGTCTGGTAAATGCTGGAGCTGTAAATATCTCTGTTATTTTTAGATCTTGATATTGCAGTGACATACCACTTGAATGAGACATTAAATAGACTACAACAGGGGCAGTAGTTCTGTTTAGAAACACACCTACGGTATAATAGTATCTATACGTCGCATTTATATATACTGTATATATATATTTATCATACATATTGAATACCGTATAATACATAATGAGTACCAAGCCATACATTTATACGGACGATAGTGTCATATATATAGACTAAAGTGTTAAACATACATATTACTGTGTCATACATTCTCATTGCCGTTTTAACACTGCCGAAGTACACTGCCGTCATTTTTTTAATTTTGTTTTCTAATTTCAAGTTTATTTTCCAGGCTAGTATCATCATTTTTTCATTAGCTTATCTCTCGCACGCGTGCAATCCAGAAACAATAATTACACATAACCTGCATTTTTATACATATTTTGTGACAGGAAATAGTTTTACAGAGTTGAAAAATACTGAAAATGTTGAGTGTTTGTCATCTCTTATTATAAACTATAGGTATCATTTAGGTAGCAGTGTACAGTAGCGTACGGTGGCCATGGGTGATATTTTTGTACAATGAATAACCCATGTAATATTACATGTATCAAAGTTTTAAAACAAAGCAGCACTAGTATTGGCATATACATGATCAAGTGGACTATATGGGCTTCACTTTAAAAAAAAAAATCGATTTTGGTCTGAGACTTTATTTTTATGTCATTTAAAAATCTGTGTCTACACAACAAAAGCTAGCTTTCCATGTAGTCTATTTTTGTACTCAGTATATGTGTAAATATTGTGAAAAATCCAGTTGAACGACCTATGCTAAATCGTGAGTATTTCTGTTACCGAGTAGTTGACATTCAACTTAAGACAGGTATTAAGAAAAGTTTGGGTTAAAAATCATGTTATTTTTGCATTTTTTGGTGTTTTTTGATGTGGTAACCATGGTTTTCACAAGTGCCAAATCTGGGGAAATCACTTTTTGGAAAAAAATGCATTCTTCCAAAAAAATAATAATTTCAAAATGTAGTTTTTAAGTATATACAGTGTGTTGTGCAGGATATATCCCCTATCCGTGCTTATCTGAGACATGCCCTTTATTTTAAGGATCAAGCCATTTCTACTGTACTCTGCTACCTTACGTTGTCGTCCATTTAATATACTTAAACAACTATCACATTAACCATCATTCATAATATACATTGAAGAAAAAATAGAAGTATACTCCTCTTTTACATTACAAATGGTGATGGACTTGACAAACTATGTCGTTATCAACTGCATTTGTTGTCGTTTTCCGAAAAAATAATAATAATGATGTTATTTTATTATGATATTTTATTTTCAGTTATTTTCTTTTCACGGTAATGCTTTTGTTCATCAGTTAACAGTTTTTCCCCACATTTCTGTGTTCTTTCGTTATAACCGTCGCAACCTTGGTGTAAATATGCTCCTTTTCTGGTTTTACCTTTGACAGTGTAGATAATATAGCAATTCTTTTCTCTCAGTACCTTTTGCTGGATTATTTAGCAAGACTAATAAGCTTAATGGTTTTTAAATTCTTGTATTATAACGATTTCCTATTAATTTTCATGTCGTTTCATGTTCTGTATAATGAAATTTCAACTCAACAAAAAGGTTTCTCTGTCACTTTTTGTCTGTGAAGAAGTTTTATTAAAGCTCCAAGCTTCAGGTTCGAATTTCTTTTTCATTAAGCATAAAACAAAAATCAAAATTATAATCGCAAAACATAGACGGCGAATTTTTCACACGCTTTTAATACATATCTTATAGCATGAAATGGTCCATTCCTTATTTATTAGCCGTAGATTTCTACTGAATCCTAAATGCCAAGGAATGAAGTTGGTCTTTTTTTTAAAATTTGTACACGTTTTCAGTGTAAATATGTTAACACTTTTCGATGTTTCGTTATCAAGTTTGACCTGGACGTTTATAATACTCCTCAATATGATACAATAAACAACGATTGGGAGTTATCCCCAACTATAGATATTGCTGAGGATTTTTGCATATTAATTCCGACATAAATCTTCATCTTCTGCGAAATTGTTTTAGTCGTGAAGATTATACAATGTATCAGCTTGAGAATGAATCAGGCGATATTTGCTCTGTAATGGCTGCAACTGCATATGGCTATCGCAGCAACCATAGGCAGTGTCATTACCAACTGCATTGCAGCAAAATACATACATGTAATACGCATCTCCTTCATAGTAAGTTTGCAGCATAACAATTAGCACATCTATAACACAGAAAAGACATTTGAAATCAGTTCAATAGCTATATTATTTTTGTCCAAGGCTTTATCATTTAAATTCCAAGCAACGAAACTTCTAGAAAGAAGATTTGCCTGATTTAACAGTGTCATGATATGGGCATGTTGACATCATGAACATATTTCAGGCTTTTTATTATTATAACGTCGTAAATATGTTCGTGTTACAGTTTCGAAACTAAAAATACAAATTGCATTTAAGTCGTCATAGTGTTCCAACTGTCTTATTTCCACGTCATCTTTTAGATTTGACTTGTGTCAGTCATATTTTATTTTGTCTCTGATTGGTTGAATTGGTTGGGGAGAAAACGCCATACCTATTTATAGATAATATCTGTTTAACCGACGAACATTTTGTCGGTTTTCCAAAATAGTTACATCATTTCTAAAAATATATAAAAGTGCTGACGCATTTATTGGACGGTGTAGACGTGGTCTGTTATCATTTGTAGACAGTCGTCCAAGTTAGGGGCATTCGAACACAAGAGATTATGTAAATGTCTCCTCAGTTCTGTGGTTGTAAATTTAAACTGCTTTTGCTCAAATGGTTTCTCAGTAGTCAAAACTTTCTTAATATTGAAAAATATGTATCCTCACATTAAAACATATCGTTATACGGGACATTAAGAACAACAAATTTCCCTTTTGTTTGTTTGTTTTTCTCCTGATTTAGTATTAGGTCAGTTTACACCGACTATAGAACTCTTTTCGAAACAACTAATCTTTACATTCTTTAAATATGACCTTGACGTTTTCAGATATAATGGCTGCGGCTTCAGCCCATGGGTATGGTCTGGTGGATGACAAGTTGGTTAAGGCCACACAAGAATGTCTGGACACAGGCAGCATCATGCCGATGCTCAAGGAAGAACTCAGATGTACTATACAAAACAGACGACTAGCGGAGGGCAAGACAGAACTGACCGTTCAATTCACACCCCCAACAGAGCAACAGGTGAGTTGAATCAACCTTTAATAAGGATGTGAGTTGACGGTATTTTCCCTATGGTATCATTGTGTGTAAATACTGTGGTGATTCTTCCTTTTCCACTTCACATAGACTTATTTCATAAATAAATTTATCATTGAAATTCCAAAAATGAAGTTTATTGATGTAACACGGATAACCGTATTAATTGAAATCGATGTCTTTTTAACAATGACTACATGCCCTTCCCTTACAGCTTAATGCAGAAGAGATCATAAAGAAGGAAAACAGAAGGGAACAGAACAGAAGAGCAGCACGAAAGTTTCGCCAGAAACAAGCTACATTATCTCAAAACTTCCAAAAGGTAGCGTCTAAATGTTCTTCTATCTCATGCCTTCCAAAGGAAAATATAACACTCGTAGGTAAAAATACACAATAGTTTAAGGAATAACCAGGATTATTGTTGGGGAAATACGGTATATACCGTCAAAAACTGTGTGCATTTTGCATAAATCCGCGGAACGAAGTGGTTTATGCGCAAAACTGCACAGTTTTTTTCGGTATATACCATATCACTCCAACAATAATTCCTGTTATCCTTTATTATCCTTTATTACTTAATTAAAAAGTCAGATACCATTTTTTATTGATACTTAGAGGATATTTATACATTTCTGATAAAAATTGGGTTTTTGCACAAAACACCACATGGTGCAGTAATATCTTCCCCAAACGTAATATCGATCTTCGCCATGCAACTTCAACCAATATGTAATAAGAATTACGCACCAAACATTGCAGTATAGGACGCCATCACTTTGCGTGCTGTCTTGTTTAGGTTATGCGATATAACCTGAACATTTCTACCATGGGGGGAACAGTCAACATATAATCATTACTATATAAACACAGAACATCGTTATCTGACTTCAAACGATTCAAGGCAAATATAGAAAAACAATTAATATATTGTCAGATTGTTTCAAAATGGTGATATTCTAATCCTTGTTATGGGTCTATATGTTGAATTCATTATTTTCAATTTATGTAAGCATTCTAAATGTCAAATTTAACAATTATTATTAGATAGAAAAAGTGAAGATGCTTACTTATTTACAAGCATTGACATTTTACTGAACATTTTTTTTTTCAAATTTGAGCCACTTAAATGCTAGCAGGTATTCATGTCATTGACCAGTGCTTCGTAAAATTTTTCATACAATTTTCTATACAACTAAGGTCTTTTTTGCATATCTCGTCTGTTTTAACAGTAGTTAAGACCAATTACAATTTCGAACGTTTTGGCCCCCGGGATGTCTTAAAATGACGAAACAGCTGTATTTCATTTCAACAGATTTTATTGACATGGTGTTATGGTCAAATGGATCGAATAACAGGCAAGCCTATATAAATTCTTTCCATAGGTGGCTAGAGTATTACAATAATATTATAGAACTATAGCTAAATATTTTGAAATGAAAATAAATAAATGTAAACGATAAAGTGATTAAAGGGAGGTAACTCACTTTGATTATTTACAATACAACTTAGGACATACACACACCGATACCGACACACACACACAAACAAAACATAAATATAGTTATTAATTATCATAATTACACGTGTACACATGAGATACTATTTACCATTCGATACAGTTAGGTAGATAGACCAAAAGTCCATGTACAAGTTCTGCACAGGTTATCACCACCTAAACTGTGTATTAATTTATTTATATGTAACTATTTAATCTACAGATTTAACCCGATATGTACATTTATCAAAAGTATAAGTAAAACATTGTGTAGAGGAGCACAAAATAATAAATGAAAATAAATATTTATTACATAATGAAATAAATTCACAACCATGTTCAACTGTTTTCATAGAAAATTACAGTTTTTTGTCAATATAATGGCTTTTTATATCTTGTAAAAGTTAAAACGTTTGGATTTCCCTTCACAATTAAGACAGCCTTGTAAAATAATTTCAATATCGATATGGTTAAAGTCAAGGGCATAATTACTGAGTGAGTTGAATAAATTAATCCTCAAACCATAGTAAATAGGACATTCTAAATCAAAATGAGAGTCTGTTTCCAATACATATGAACAAGGACATACTGGACTATCAGTTAGGTAATCATGATGCAAATCAAACTTTAAATCACTACAACAATTTCTAGGTTAGGAAAGAATAATGTTTGCCCTTCTATCACCTTCAGTTTTGAAAATTTGAACAGATTCACTATCAGTTATAGCCTTTTTATCTAACAGTCATTTAAAACTTGTAAGTGTAGGAAAGTCAAAAAGATTAGTATCAGTGTTGTTAGCTGTGCGGCACATGAAATGAAAGAAGCTGTCAAAGTAGCTATTAGTTCTGCATATTGGTGGGTTAAAAGGTCTAGTTTGTCGGAAAGAATAATGATTTTCATTAGGATTGTTTGTAATGGGGATCAACACATCTTGTAAATATTGCGATGAGAGTCCATTCATTAATTTATCCATCATGATATATTTGTGTTTCTCTCTTCTGGCAGCCAGAGTTTCCCAACCGAGTTCGGTATAAAGTTTATTATGAGATGCTCCTGACCGAACAACGCCTGTAATAATTCTTGCTGCTTCTAATTGTATAATTTTTTGAAGATCTGATGATTGTTGTGTGCAGTTATCCCAAACTATGTCAGCATATTCCAAAATTATAAATATAAATTATAATTAATGTTTGTCGATTTACTTTTTGATATATGTTCTGAATAAGTTGTTTCCATGGTGCATCATCTTGAAGGGTAAGTCCAAAGTGTGTATGTGATGTAGTGTCTGTAATTTGGCTGTTTTGAAAAGTTATATTGGGGAGATTTGTGTTATGTTTCCTTGAAAATATAACTGATTTAGTTTTATTAGGGTTAAATTGTATGTCCCATGTGTTTGCCTGTTCATTCATGTTTGTAAGGTCAGTTGTTAGTGCTTGTGCTGCTTGCTGGGTCTTCATCTATAATTACATAAAGAGAGGTGTCGTCTGTAAAAAGCCTAATATTAGTGGAAATAGTTTCGGTGATATCATTGATGTAAAGAAGGATTAGAAGTGGGCCAAGGACAAATCCTCGAGGTACCCCTGCATTAATAACCTGGTATTGAGAAAAATAACCCTTAGTACTAACTCTTTGCATGCTGTCTGTAAGTTTTTTTGGAACCAGATAAGTACATTTCCATCAACAGCATAGTTTTTTAGTATATGTAGAAGACCTTGGTGCCACACACGGTCAAAAGCTTTACTGAAAATGACCTGATTGTTAGATTCAAGAGCGGGGATAGAGGAGGATTTGTTAGAAAAGTTAGTGATAGATTTTGCTATCTTCCAGCAATTGTCTGGAGGGACCATACTATCATTTACAAAATATAAACCTTAACTCCTTTCTCTGATCCATATTAACAATTTCATTATATATGAACAATAACTGATTTACTGTAGAATCTTCTGGTGTAAATCCTTACTGATGCTTAGTTATAATAGAATTTTCAACTAGGTAATTATAAAGATATTTGAAAATATTGTGTTCCATTAATTTACTAAGACAAGAAGTTTGAAACATCATTAGTTGAACTATTTCCTTTATAAATAGCATTAATGTTTGCTGGTTTCCAACTATTTGGTAAAGTTCATGATTTTAAAGATTTATGAAATAATAGTGTGAGGGGTAATCTCAGAGAGGACCTGGTTGTTGGATTCAAGAGGGGGGATAGAGGAGTATTTGTTAGAAAAGTTAATGATAGATTTTGCTATCTTCCAGCATTTGTCTGGAGGGACCATAATATCATTTAGTGAATTTTCAAGATTTTTTAGTAATTTGCTTTTGCTTCCTGAATCAGGTCAATAGTTTCATTTCTAAGAATACAAAATCTGTGCCAATAATGAGGATTATTATTTATTTTAGCCTTTTTTTGTGTATTCTGTTTCTTTGTCTCAGTCTTATGGTGTTGTTCATCCATGGTTTATCATTTGGGCGTACAGTTATCCCTTTGTGGGAATAACATTTTTGACCTGTTCCGTTAAACAATTAATTATAGAAGCATTAAATAGCTCAGTGTCCTGATTCGATGATAAATTCAACCAATCAACATTAAAAAGAGCATTATTCATACTTTCAAAATTAGCTTCATCATATTTCAGAATGGTCTTTTTATAGCTCACTTATTTAAATATGTTAAAAGAAATTTGGGCATGAACTGATGAGTGATCACTACAGAATGGTGCTGATACATAGGTACTTTTGATTTTGTTTCTGTTATTAGATGATATAATATATATGAATGTTGCACTGTCAGGTGTTATTCGTGTAGATTCATTAATAAAACTAGATAGATTATGTTTGATAAGGAGTCTTAATAAGTGATCATTTAATGTTAGGTTTAACATATCAATATTAATATCACCTGTTAGTAACATACACCCATAGAAGTATCAGTAGCTCTAGTTAATGTATCATCAAGTTTGTTCCAGTAGTCAATGTTACTGTCTGGTCTATACAAATAACCAAGGAGAAATTTAATTAAAAGAAAATAATTAAAACCTCTGACCAAAGTAGCTCTACATCATCCCTTTCTAAGTCAGCTCTTCGTTTCATAATAACAGTGTTATTGTTATATACTATAACCCCACCCCCTGGACCAGTAGTTCTATCTTTTCTATGAGGAGTAGGAGTAAAGGACTCGAGTGTAATTGAATGTCAGTGTTGCTTATCAATGGATTTAAATGTGATTCAGTCAGACATACTATATCGTTACTTACAAGTTCAGTTTCAATGAAGGAAGATTTGTTTCTAAGGGATCGTACATTAAGGTGAACCATATTAAGATTGTGTAACGGTCCAGGATTACTTTCAACATCAAAACAGAGGCATATGATAATAAACTGTGTAACTAAAAAAACTCAAAACATGAAGACGATAAATTATATAGACAATCAGATTAATAGAAGCCATTATATAAATTCTTGAAATCAAATACGATTAAGTTTTGAAATATTTTAAACCACCGGCGATCCACCATAATTTGGATATAGTTACCCATTATCAAACTGGAAAAAATTAACGTCTTGGCAGGATAGGTCGAGCATCCGGCAGCACAGGACTACATCAGGCGGGATACATGAGAACCAGTTGAACATAGTTGTGAGATACTATGACAAAAAAACAACACATGGATACAATAATCAAACACACACACGCACGCATTTTGTAGGAAAACGGAAGTGACTCTGACTTGTCAGGGTGCTTGGGACGCTTGAAAACACAGGTCCTTGTGAAACAGCTGAATGATGAAGTGTAGTTCATTTTTGGCATACTGTATCATGTGTGTGTGTGCTACGTTCCTTTTTCATTCATTATTACATTTTACATTCATGTTTTCATTCATGTTTTACATTTTTGCCAGTGAATTATCGAATTCTATCAAATTGATGAAATGATATCTCTAACACTGTAAGTTTATCAAAAAATATATTTTTACCGGTTAAAATATCCCTTCGAGAATCCACCAATCAAAACGATACTTTCCATTCACTTCATTCAATGCAGAAGATTAATTCTTCATATTGAAATTAAAGAATAATCAAACAAATGGTTGGCAAATTTCCGCAGGAAACGGTATAATTGTATTGAGCAGCCCATTCAATTGTTGCACAGCCTTGTTGTCAAGCTTACGTCATAAGAATATGGCGCCAACGATTACGTTATTACCGTTGCAGTAACATCTATCGACGATGCGGATATTTTTAGAATGTATCAAATGGAACATTTTATGTTTTCCCGTTGAAAACCATAGTTATTCAATTCACCTGTACGGCGTTATATACAACACTGGTGAAAAGTATCGGTATTCTAACATGCTGTTGAATTACATATGGTATTAAACGGAAAATGTTCACTTTCGTTTTTAAAGATTGCATCGAAGTTTTCCGTATCTCCCAGTTTATAAATATGTCTCACATAATCTTTACACAAATATAATAGTGTTATCCGATAATTACCGCTAAGTTCAACCCAAACATCTGTTGACATATGAGTAAGGTAAAGAAATGTTCATGAGTAAACCAAATGTGTGTATGATGACATTCCATATCAGTTTATGAAAACATCTAAACTAAAAGTACATACTCTTTTTTAATCTGTTCAATCTCAAACGCATTACGTTACGCATACATTTGTTATTCATTTTGCAGAGAATAGAACAATTGGAAGCAGAAAATAGAAGGCTGACAACACAAGTGAAACGACTTTCCAATGAGAAGAGCTACCTACAAGGAAAGCTACATGCCAATCGTTCTGTTTGTGGGGACTGTGCTCGATGCTCCTGATATAGTGACGCTCTATTTGTGGTGACTG